ATATAGTGAAATAACTATGCAACTCACCATAATATAGAATCAATGAGGGCCCTGAGCTTGCTTTCCTGCAACTACTCGGCCCCATCTGGGGGTGATGGGAGATAGTGACCAATCATCTGGCATTAGATTCTCATAAGGAGTGCGCAACCTAGATGCCTCACATGCACAGTTCACAGGAGAAACTAACACCCCGCGCTGGTCTGACAGGAGCTGGAGCTCAGGTGAGCAATGGAGAGTGGCTGTAAGTACAAATGAAACTTTGCTCACCTGCTGCTCACCTCCTACTGTGCAACCTGCTTCCTAACAGGACCAGGGGTTGAGAACTCCTTCAATGAAGTTTCCAGTAAACTTGAAATTATCACCACCACCTGCTCATCTGTGGTTCCCTATATTAGTGGAACAACCAACAGTGAAGAAAGTTACTATACTGGTAAGAGTGATTGTTAGTGATCATGTCAGAGGTGTGTGAACAAGAGCAACTTCATCTTGAATAGGAGCTGGATAAATGAGGCTGAGACCTACTGGGTTGCATTCCCAGATAGTTAAGGCATTCTATGTTACAGGATGAGACATGAGGTCAGCACAAGATAGGTCATAAAGACCTTTCTGACACAACAGGTTGCTGTAAGTAAGCCGGCTAAATCCCACCAAAACCAAAATGGCGGCAAGAGTGACCTCTGGTCATCCTCACTGCTACACTCCCACTAGCACTATAACAGCTTACAAATGCCATGGCAATGTCAGGACTGACCTATGTGGTCTAACGAGGGGAGGCATAAATAATCCAACCCCTGTTTAGCATATATCATCAAGAAATAACCATAAAAATGGGCAAACAGCAGCCCTCGGGGCTGCTCTGTCTATGGAGTAGCCATTTTTTTATCCCTTTACTTACTTAATAAACTTGCTTTTGCTTTGCACTGCGGACTTACCCTGAATTCTTTCTTGCCTGAGATCCAAAAACCCTCTCACAGGGTCTGGATTAGGACCCCTTTCCTGTAACAATTACCATGAGGAGTTAGGGGTGCTGTTGCATGGTGAGGAAAGAAGAAACATAGCTAGAAATTCAGATTTTCTGGGGCATCTCTTGGTGCTTCTACACCTGGTAACAATGGTCACCAGGCAACTACAGAATACGAAGCCTAAGAAGGACAAAGCAGTGAACATTCAGACCCTTCAGTGAAGACCTGGGTTGCCCCTACCAGGAGTACAATGTAGATCAACCCAAGTGCTGCTTGGAGCTGAGGAGGATCCGGATCGGATGCTGGAGGGCAGGGATGATGAACATCAACTATGGCCTCAGGGCCAGCAGGATTTGGAACTTCTTTCACTTATTATTTTGTAATAAGTCCTTGTGGCATTTTGGTGGGCTACCACCATGAGGGGACTTGGGGAGAGATGGGTCTTCAAAGTAAAGGAGAGCATTTGAGGAATGGAAGGGGTCAATTGTTAACACACATCACATGTGTGCTATTTCATGTGGCTCAGCCCCATCTCTGACCCCAGTCACTGCTGCAGAGACCCATTCCAAGGAGGCATTGACTGGTTTTGCAGAGTCTTGCTTCTGGTCCACACTGCATTCCTCTTTCTCCTGCCCTGGCCTTCCTTGATGTGATGGCATCAGCCCCTTTACAGGAATGCTCTTAGCACTGAAGTGTATACAACCTAGAAGTGGAGATGGGGAGATAATGCCAGCTTGGCCAGTGTTGAATGTTAAAGCCTCTTCCTGTCCTAAGTAAACTATTCTGAGGCATATTTCTTGAGCCTCATCAGAAGGTCCCGTGTGATGGTGTTCCCATAGTCCTGGTCAACTTAATAAAAACACAGATGGTATTGACTTTTTTTCTTCTTTCTCTGTTTCAGTTTGTCAGCCCTTCACTTCTGCTCCCTGGGATCACCTCCCAGATGAATTGCTTTCACCCTGCCCTTTGCCTTCCCAGCTGCTTTGGGGGAAACCTAGTCTAGGACACAGGTCTTCATAACAGAGCATTAATTTCCTCTGGCCACCCAGAGCGGCATTCGTTCTTAACTTCCTTTAGAAATGCTTCAGTGCGATTTGGAGTTAGCGTCCTTGAGTAAGCCAGTTCTACTTTGGAGAATTAAGGCTGGCACTTTTCCCTGGAGATGACTTTCTTCTTTGCTGACCTCATTGCTAATGGCCTCATTTATGTCTCTAGTTCTTGTTCTTTTTGGAGTTTAAATAATACATCCAGTATCTTTGAAACAAACAAACACAAAGCAAAGATCTAACTAGTTTTTCACATTAACCTTGTTCAGAAGGTACCTGGTAAATATCCAGGATTTAGCAAATAACTAGTATATTCTCACTAATATTCCCCTTTACCCTTTAGATGCTGCATTTGTTTTCTTTGCTATTTCAGAGTCTTGCAATCTTGTTTTCTTCCTTCTAAATGACCGACTATTTTCTTTGGCATGGACACAGAGAACAGCAACAGTTAAGCTTATTGCTATATGAAAGGGCCGCGTTTGTTTAGAAGCTGCTTAGAAGGCCGTGAGAGCAAGTGACCTGGATGATAGGAAGTAGCCCCGGGAAACTAACAAGTATTTTTTTTCTCCTGTCTTTCTGCCAGGATGCTGGTTTTTCCTTGGCTAATAGTCATTTGCAATGGCCAAGATTTATGCCAGTTGGAATCTCACAGGGTATCAGTCACATTGCTTTCTTATAAGCAATTGCTTACCCTTACAAGAAAAGGAGTAGGAGCATTGAAAGGAAAATGACATATTTAGCTTAGGGTTCTGCTTGACAAATGGCTCTTGATAACCTTCCCAGGTCAATTCTGGGAGAGTAGACAAAAGCAAAGAAAACAAATTGACTGCAGACAATGACATTCATCGTACTTAAAGAGAGAACCAGTCCTTGTGAAAAACAGATTAAACTTCAAAAGAATCCAGCAACTGCCCTAAACTGACCCATAAAGAGAAGTTAGAAATCGAAAGCTGAAAATTAGGAAGCTCAGTAGTGAATCTGACGACTGATATGTTCCACACATTACCTTCAAGACCGTTCAGTTTCAACAAAGGATGGCTCACATCATTAAATGGTTGAGTAACTGTGGTTTCAAAGTCACAAAAAGGCTATAAATACAGATTTCTCAAGGTGGAAGAATCTCAGGATTCTATAACATTGACCTCAGGTTGGAAGACAGGTTCAGAAAAAGGGGTAAAATTTGTTCCAGTTTATTTTATCCCATTCTATTTTTTTAAGTTCCGGGATACATGTGCAGGTTTGCTACATAGGGAAACATGTGCCATGGCGGCTTGCTGCACCTATCAACCCGTCACCTAGGTATCAAGCCCAGCACACATTAGCTCTTTTCCCTAAGGCTCTCCCCATCCCCATCCTCCCACAAAAGACCCTAATGTGTATTGTTCTCCTCCCAGTGTACATGTGTTCTCATTGTTCAGTTCCCACTTACAAGTGAGAACATGCAATGATTGGTTTTCTGTTCTTGCGTTAGTTTGCTAGGAATAAGGCTTCCAGCTTCATCCATATCCCTGCAAAGGATGATCTTATTCCTTTTTATGGCTGCATAGTATTCCAAGGTGCATATGTATCACATTTTCTTTATCCAGTCTATCATTGATGGGCGTTTGTATAGATTCCATGTCTTTGCTATTGTATATAGTGCTGCATGTATCTTTATAATGGAATGATTTATATTCCTTTAGATATATACACAGTAATGGAATCCCTGGGTCAAAATTTGCTCTACTTTTCAGTTTACTATCAATATTACAATGTTTTCTGAGCATCACAAATAGTATATAAGAACATTTCTAAATATGGAAGAATATTTGGTGTTTACCTCATCTGCATGAATCTTGTAAGAATTAAGAAAAACAACAGAAACTCAGGAGCCTCACACTGGGGTTTACTTGGAGAATCCCCTTATTAAGACTTACTTCAACAATGCACTGCTTTCTGGTTGTATTAGCACAGGTTTCTGCTTCCTATATTATTTTCCTTATAAAACATTTCATTTACTCCCAGGACAATGGTTGGACTCTGCTTCCTTAGTAGTCAATCTCAATTAATCTGTTCTACATATTACCTTCCAGATTAATTTACTTTTTCTTCTCCAAGACTGACACATCTGATTTCAGTCTTAAGTACTACTTTTGCTAATTTATCCCATTTTAATTTGCCATATTCCAACCCATGAGAAAGGATAATCAATATGATTTTACCTTAAGATATTTTTTTAAATTGTAAACAAGCCCGATAGAGAATGACCTTCAAAAAGACTTTTATCTTATGGAGACCAGAATTTAAGCAGGAAGACAATGTGAAATTTCCCAAGTTCAATTAGCTCATCAGCTTATAGAGAAAGAAAACTAATGACTGAGTTATCATTAGGGTCAGCAAGGACCTCTTTAGGAAACGTATGTTGCAATTTTAGAGACCAAATATTATAAAAATCTTCTCACTTTCTCATTTCATCGGCATAATGGTCCTTTGGCAATCAAAACTTAAAGATGTCATCATTATTTTAAAAATACGGTTGGTTAATTCAGTCAAACAGTGATTTAACTCAATGACAAATTCAGCTGAATTATTTTCCACTGTATAAATAAAATGGCTGGCCATTTAACAGAACTTTTCATTTTTCAACTGGAAATACAGGTATGACATATAGATACAAAGTTGGAATAGAATGAGTTGATGATTACTTTTTGATGATTGTCAACATTTCATTCTTTCCACTTAAATTGACTAAAAGAAAAGTCTCCCATGCATCTGCTATCACATACCTGACACTTCAACACTACAGAAAATGGCCATATTTTCTGTATCTCAAATTATGTTCTTTCTGCCTAGAATGTACTTTCTGGTCTACAATGAATATTTCCTTAATGGTTTATATTGTTTTATATATTCATCTCTTCTACTCATTTATTCTTCCATTTTTACTGCTTTTTTTCCCTCTGTCTTACATTTTCAGTGTTTAGAAAAACCAAACAGAAGTCACAAAGCTTACCATTTCAACCAAGGATAGATATAAGAACATCCCAGCAGTGACTGTGAAGATCCATTCTTGAACACACGGATCAGCTGACACAGAAAGGCCAATGTATAACCCTATGAAGGCAGTCAGAGCGCTTATAAAATTCATCAGGATGGCAGTCTTAATAGAAAGTCCAGAGCTTAAAAGCACAGCAAAGTCTCCTGCAGTTTAAGGGGAAAGGAAAATGTAATTATCATTTAACAGAAGATGCCTTTGCTAAAGTAACATGCTATTAGCTATTTTGAATGTCAGCAACTGGAACCAGTTTTATAGGTGGAGTTGAGTGATCAGTAAATAAATTGCTTTCCTATATTTCTCTAGGATTCATAGCCACTTCACTGTACTATTAGGAAGTTGCATTTCAAGAGTTCTATTCCGTTGGCTCCTCCTAAAGATTGTATATACAGAGAGGTCCGTGACATATTCTTGAGTTCTTGATATCCTGTGACATTTCCAACTTAGATAAATGCAAAATAGTCACTTGCTTTCCCAGGGTTTCTAAATCTTTGGGCCTGGAAATTTTCCAGGTGAAATCATGACACTATATGGGATTTTATTTACTTAAACAGGAACTGCTGTGGGGAGAGAAAACTACCTAATAAGAGATTTTTAAAGCATTGCAAAAGTTGGTTAGGGAAACAAATTTTTTCCCTTTAGAAAATGATCTCATTCTCTCTATGCCTTCCCCTCAAGAGAAGATTGACCTGTTAGTAAATCTGAGAGCATCTATTTCTTAGTTTGGGGGATTGAGACTACAATTCAATAAAAAGACAGCTTGGGGACCCAGTTTCCTAGTTCCATTGCATAATTGGTCCCACGAACGGGGCTTGAGCATCTCTGCTGGCCTGCTGCAGACTGTCACACTGCCCCGTGGTTTTGGGTTGAGGATTGAGAACTACATTACTGTCACAGTAGCAAAATGCAGGACCCTAGATGGCTTCCAGACGAGGTACACTTTCATGCGCTCAGGAAGGAGCTTGGAAAAACTGCTCCAAGAAGGATACATCAATAATGAGCTAGTGTCAGAACTTTAGGCAACAGACTCCGAGCTCAAGAGGGCAAGAGTTTCCTAGGGACAATGTAGGAGTAAAAGTGGGAAGCAGAGAGACTGCGAAGAGCCCTCTCCCGCGGGCGCCTGTGCCAGACCAGCCTCTACTAGTTCTGGGTCTGTTTCAGAAAGGTCTGTTCTAAACCATCTTGTGCCCTGGGAGGCAAACTACAGGGCTCTATTGTCCTCACTTCAAAACAATTGAGTTCATGGAGTTAGGGAATAGAATGGTCACCAGAGGCTGGGAAGGGTAATGGGGTTGGGAGGAGGGAGGAGGGGAGGTGGAGATGGTGAATCATTACCAAAAAACAAACAGAAATAATGAATAATACCTAGTATTTGATAGCACAACGGGGTAACTATAGTCAATAATAATTTAATTTGTACATTTAAAAATAACTAAAAGTATAATTGGATTGTTTGTCACAACGACAATAAATGCTTGAGGGGATGGATACCTAGTTTTGCATACTATGATTCCTATGCATTGCATACCTGTATCAAAACATCTCATGTACACCATTAATCAATACACCACTACATACTCACACAAATTAAAAGAAAAACAGTTACAGGGCATCTAAGATGATGCAGGAAAAGAGACTTATGAGCATCTGCCACCAGACACCTGTCATTTCAGTGGCTTTAACATTTTGTGTAAGTCAGATTGATGAGACCATGGTTTGGTTTTTGGTTTTTGTTTTTGAGATGGAGTCTTGCTCTGTTGCCCAGGCTGGAGTGCAATGGCACAATCTCAGCTCACTACAACCTCTGCCTGCTGGGTTCAAGCGACTCTCCTGCCTCAGCCTCCCAAGGAGCTGGGATTACAGGTATGGGCCACCACGACTGGCTAATTTTTTGTTTTTAGTAGAGACAAGTTTTACCATGTTGGTCAGGCTGGTCTCAAACTCCTGTCCTCACATGATCCACCTGCCTCGGCCTCCCAAAGTGCTGAGATTACAGGTGTGAGCCACTGTGCCTGACTGGCTTTAATTTAAATGTTATTTTATCTTATTGGCCCATTTGCTGTCATGATGGGTAAAGTTCCCCTCTTAATATTTTTCTCACATTTAATATGCAGATTTTAAAGTCCTTGTCAAAATATTTCTCTGAATGACTCTCTCCCATATGGAATTCTCTGGAATCCAAACAGAATCATTCCTGGCCCTGGGGAACATCATAAAGGAATTTAACTAGCTTTTATTCCAAGGTATAGGAGTTATTTTTCTAGTTCTCCTCTCCTTATGGTTTAAACAAATTATCAAAGGAAAGTGTTCATCTTTCAATCATAGGTTAGAAAAAAAAATCCTGGTAAACCATAGCTGGAAAGATTTCTTTCTCAACAAGCTGGAAGCAGTGATTCCACGGTTTAACTTACCCATTTCATGTGGGATTTCATGACACAAGATAGCAATCGTGGTGGTCACTCCTGACTCAGACGACGATGAGAAAGCTGCTCCTATAGCTAAGCCATCTGCAAAATTATGCAGGCTGTCCCCAACCAGAATCATGATTGCTAACAAGCTCATGGCTTTACCTGAAGTGCCAAATAAACATAGAAGAAGCATTAACAGAGCTCTACATACTTCACGAAATCCTTCAAAACCAACCAACTTTCCCACCTACACTTGACATTCTTGTATTCCATCTAATTAAATAATATCACTTTGTTTCAGCAAAAGTCAGGACTAGAGATTCAAATGCGATAACTCACACACTTAACATATGGTCACTGTTTTACTAACCGGTCTAATGAGACAAATTACATGCTGACATTCATTAATTTAACATCTTATGCAGTTATGCCAAAAGAAGAAAATAAAAACCATGTTATTATCTCCCAAAATACCACTGATGACCTTCCCGTATGTCTCTTGTAATGCATTTTAAAATAATTTAAGAACCTTGCTAAAGACTAAATGTTTGAGCCCCCCCTCAAAATTCATACATTCAAACTTATTCCCCTAGGGTGGTGATATTAGGAGGTAGGGCCTTTGGGATGAAATTAACAGCCTCATAAGAGATGCCAGAGAGCTCCCCTACCCCTTCTGCCACTTCCTGCTGTAGGAAGGTGCCATCTATAACCAGAAAGTTGGCTCTTGTCTTGCACCTTGATCTTGGACTTCTAGGCTCCAGGACCATGAGAAATAAATTGTTGTTCATAAGCCATCCAGCCTATGGTAGTTTGTCGTAGCAGACTGAGCAGGCCAAGGCAAACTTCCCAGTAGAAGGTCATTGAAACGAAGTCCATTTCCCAAAGCTGTTGTTTGAGTCAGACTGTTCTGTGTCAATCTATGGCAGCGTACTTTCTGCCACTGCGTGATTGTTTTGTTTCCCTTTCCGACAAGTGCTAACGACTTCCCTGAAGTGCCCAATCACTCCCCACTGTGGCTTCAACAGAACCACAACCAACATTTCCAGCCCCAAAGTCAGCTTTGGAATAATTACTCTATGTTTTCATCTTTCTGCAAGGTATCTTTCAGCACCAGGCCAGTTAGATGTTGAACAAAATAAAGAAAAGCTTCCATCTTCATGGAATTCTGTTGCATAATATATATTGTCTGGTCAAGAGAGAGCCAGTGAAACCATTTTGATCATAATTGAGTTCAGCTTTTTAATGGACAGAATTTCTTTTCCGAAAATTCTAAATTGAATGTTAGTATAACTCAATTGTAAAGGTGAATGACTCACAAACACGGAAAGTATTCTGAGCATAGTACTTATTTGGGAGAAATCTGCCTACCTAGAACATTTGAAAGAACAGTCATTAATCAACTGTCATAGGTCATAGTCTAAGATGTCATTATTATGTTCCATATATGTTGTGTGACAGGCGTAAGTTGTAGTTATTGTTAGTGTCAGAACTGAATGAATACATAATTCTTTTTGGGGGGAGGGGGGCTGGAGTCTTGCTCTGCTGCCCAGACTGGAGTGTAGTGGTGTGATCTCAGCTCACTGAAATCTCCTCCTCCCAGGTTTAAGCAATTCTGTCTCAGCCTCCATAGCTGTTGCAACTACAGACACATGCCACCATGGCTGGCTAATTTTTTTTTGTATTTTTAGTACAGTCATCTTTCAACATATTGATCAGGCTAGTCTAGAACTCCTGACCTCAGGTAATTCACCTGCCTCGGCCTCCCAAAGTGCTGGGATTACAGGCATGAACCACAGCACCTGGCCAATTCCTTTTTTTTTTTTTCTGGAGACAGAGTCTTGCTCTGTTGTCCAGGCTGGAGTGCAGTGGCATGATCTCAGCTCACTGCAGCCTCCACCTCGCAGGTTCAAACAATTCTCCTGCCTCACCCTCCCAAGTAGCTGGGATCACCGGTGTATGCCACCATGCCTGGCTAATCTTTTTGCATTTTTAGTAGAGATGGTTTTCACCATGTTGGCCAGGCTGGTCTCAAACTCCTGACCTCAAGTGATCCACCTGCCTCGGCCTCCCAAAGTGCTGGGATTATAGGCATGAGCCACTGTGCCCAGCCTTAACACATAATTCTAATAATTGTGCTCAATAAAAATAGAAAGAGGATACTTCCTGGGTTCTAACTGTTGCATGGCCTAAGACTACAAGGGAGATTGTGTTACAATGTGGTTTGCTATCTTATTTGGGGAATATGATTTGATTCGTGTCATATCCCACACCATGAAATAAATAACTTCAGTAAATAGCAGATATAGCCCAGTTTACCACCTAGGAGATAGCTCTATTTACTGTGTTCCAAAGATGGCCTGTGCATTTCACTTCTAAAAATCATGAGTATTTAGAAATATAACTGTAGGACTAATTTACATCCTTCTTGTGGTTTACTAATTTATTTTAGTCTTTGCTAAAAAGGGAAAGATTTCAGGCAACAGCATATGAACACAGAATAAATAATGAGTTATTAAATTCAGGGAGTTCTTATTGACATTGCCTGGAAACTCTCAGAGTCCAATAATGCTACCAGATCACTTAACTGTTCCTGCCAATTTTCAGAGATAAAGCTCTTCTTTGTGAAAGGAAACTTAAAAAAAGCTTCAAGTGATATATTTGACATCACTGCAACATGCAAATAAACTTGTAATTTCCTACATGTAGTCTTGATATTAATAGTATACATTCCAAAGGAGGATTTTTAACCAATATTATACTCTACTAGAAACCCGTGTGGTCTATTTTTACTATTATTTTATTACCTCTGATCATGGGTGTCTAAATATTAGATCTGGATAGGTAACACGCCACAGACAAATAAAAATATTTGCATGTAAGCCATAAAGAACACACTGTGCATATTTCTTAAAATAATTTAAACATTATTTAGCAGAAGTCTGATAAAGGAGACTTGCTTGAACTCAGGAGGTGGAGGTTGCAGTGAGCTGAGATCATGCCACTGCACTCCAGCCTGGGTGACAGAGTGAGACTCCATCTCTCTCTCCCCCTCTCTCTTTATATATATATATATATATATATATATATATATATATAAAGAGAACTATATATGTGTATGTGTATATATATATATACATCTCTCTATATATATATAAAGAGAAATATATATATATACACACACATATTTAGTAGAAGGTAAGCATTCACTGGTAATTTAATGTACTCGTTACAGAACTACATATAATATTTTACTTTATGTACTTGGCAGTCATTGAGTTCCACGTTTCTGAACCATCAGAGGTCCTCCATGGTAAAACATGGGGGCTGGAAGTGGTATCCCTGTGCTTTTCTAAAAATTTGCATCTTGTCTTTTGAAACACAAGTTGAATTCCATGGACAACTTTGATGACAAAGAACACAGTCATCAAATGTTTGAAGCTTAATTCCCTATGTCCCTAGCCAAGGGGCAGTTGACTACTGTAATGTGGATATGTTCACTATTCATTCTGTATGCCAAGCTCAACAGTAAGCCGGCAGGTAGGCAGAAGGTCTACAAAATGTTTGAAGACGACCATCGTTACTTCCCAATCTACCATCCTCTTTCAGCTTATGATTTGACTGGGCATATCCTTCTTCCAAGCCCAAAAACAAAGAAGAAAAAAAAAATCTATTGCAGATCTACCATGTACAGGAGCATTCTAAAATTACTCTTGGAACTAAAAATTCAGAAGGAAAAATATTACTAGCAATGTTCTGAAAGCAGAAATGGACAAAATGTGTAACTACATATTCTGAATTAAACAAATGAATTACATGAGTCAATTTATCTAAAACATTTAGAACAGTAGTTGTTATAACAGTGTTTGTTTTTAGTAGCATTTCTCTCCCTGACTATATTGCACGCTAAGGACAAAGATTATGCTTATTTTATTCTGCACTGCATAAAACATGTCTGAAACATGGCAGGTCTTCACACATTTCTTGAATGAATAAAATAATGTCAGAGAATGCATTGATGCATGCATGAATGAATGAACACAAAAAAATTGTTGGTGCATTACCATTTCTTCAGTTCCCCAGCTCTGGGGCTGACTAGTTATGTAATCTTGAGCAGTGACTGAACCTCTCTAGTAACTGATTTCTTCATTTGTGTAATTTAGATAATATTTACTCTTACTTCATTAAGTTGTAGGAGAATTCAATGAGATCACTCTTATTTCATTAAGTTGTAAGAGAATTGAATGAATTGATTAGCGTAGACCCGTGCCGAGCATATAAGATGTGTTTAGGCCGGGCCCGGTGGCTGAAGCCTGTAATTCCAGCACTTTGGGAGGCCGAGGTGGGTGGATCACGAGGTCAAGAGATCGAGACCACCCTGATCAACATGGTGAAACCCCGTCTCTACTAAAAATACAAAAAATTAGCTGGGCACGATGGCGTGTGCCTGTAATCCCAGCTACTCAGGAGGCTGAGGCAGGAGAATTGCCTGAACCCAGGAGGCGGAGGTTGCAGTGAGCCGAGATCGCGCCATTGCACTCCAGCCTGGGTAACAAGAGTGAAACTCCGTCTCAAAAAAAAAAGATGTGTTTAATACATGGTAGCTATTTTTATTATTTGCTAAGTTATTACAGTTAAATGAGAATAACTAATCATGATGCATAACATTAAAACTGTAAGAAGTTTGTGTCACAAAAGGGTAAAATAAACGAGAACAATAGGGCAAAACTTCCAGAGAAACAGATTAAAACCAAAACAGGCAAAAGAAACAAAACGAAAAACTTCCAGAATTATTCAGAAACATAAGCACAGGTTAATCAAGTGGAATCCTAAATTGGTAAATTAAATGCAGAAGAAGGAAAAGTCATAGAAAAAAAAATCAACCTTTTTAAATTAAAAATTAAATGAACAAATGAGTTATAGAATAAGATGTGAATAAATAAGATCACTGATTTGAACTCCACTATCTCAATGACAGTATAAGACACATTTGTGATGAATTTTCAGGAGATTGTGACAGAAGATAAAAAACCAATGATATCTTTACCCTTCGCAGTGAAATAAAAGCCTCGATCATAGCACACAAATATGTTTAGGAATGAGCTATGATAAACACACATGTGTTTACATTAATTGAAGTTTTCCCTGAAGGGAATTAGTTTAAATTAATTAAGAAAAACTTCATTTTTAAAAGAAGGAGTAAAGTTGAGAAGAATATGTAGTAAATTTAAGAGCCGGATAGGAATTAGTTTTTATTACAAATCCTATTGAAAAGATTGTCATAATAAACTACCCACCCGATATGAAATCTATATGGTTTTGATATTTTATTTCAAAACAGACATAACTGTTTTCTGTGGCACTTTCTACATGTAAAGTTTAGCTTGGTACTCACATTTCCTGTTGGAGGTTGTCATACTGGCTATAGGCATTTCAGCTGCCTGTGAATCTTCCGGGCTTTGCTATTTTAAATAAAAAAATAACTGATGAAAGATAAGTAATGGCCATCATTTTGTTGGAAAATGAAACATCTGGAGAGTTATGTTGATTTTTAAAGACGTTTTAACACTCTAGATGTGTATTAGAACCTCTAGGTTTCATAGACACACACAATGGAGAGCCACAAGTCTATGGCAAACCAAGCCTTTTGCACTCTTCATATTTAGATGAAAATAACACTCTCCAGTAGATCAGAATCTTCCATAGAGAGCTGAAGGCTACTGAGACAGTCTGTAATTCAGACTTGTAAATTATGTAAGGCTTTATGAAATTCAAAAGCTATCAAAAAATGATGCTTGGCCTAATTTGGCACTTCTCCTGTATGGTGGATTGTGGTTTTAGGATTCATCCTCTAATCTGTGAGCAGTTGACATATACTGGCTATAAAAGAAATCCATGCACACTCAACACCTCATCTCATTCACTGCAGCATAATATGCTGTGTTGACTGCTTTGCCAGTCAGTAAAAGAATTTTGCCCATTGGGCCGGGCGCGGTGGCTCACGCCTGTAATCCCAGCACTTTGGGAGGCTGAGGCGGGTGGATCACAAGGTCAAGAGATCGAGACCATCCTGGTCAACATGGTGAAACCCCGTCTCTACTAAAAATACAAAAAATTAGCTGGGCATGGTGGCGCGTGCCTGTAATCCCAGCTACTCAGGAGGCTGAGGCAAGAGAATTGCCTGAACCCAGGAGGCAAAGGTTGCGGCGAGCCGAGATCACGCCACTGCACTCCAGCCTGGGTAACAAGAGTGAAACTCCGTTTCAAAAAAAAAAAAAAAAGAATCTTGCCCATTAAGAAAGTAGATCCACATACTTATAAAAGACAACTATAATAAATTCAAAGGCTTTTTCATTCTTTTATATGACAGAGAAGTGAGATTTTGAAATTGACTTCATGAGTTAAGGTTACTTGATTTTATTTGAGACTGTCTCACAGTCCAATTTCTGAAAAGATATTTTCCCTTTGTGCCTCTGATTCTATTATTTAAATAAAACTTTTCATCTGCATATTAAATATGTCCTTTTAAAAAGATATTCATAGAATTCTGTCACCCAAAGCTGTAGAAAATTTTGACACAAATGTAATGAGATAAATGCATTTTTGTGTGTGTGAGAGAAAGTAAATTTTGCATATTAGTAAAGTTCACACATTAGAATGGCAGCAGCTATTCAAAAGACATAATGATAGGCTGTTTTTGGAGAAGGATGGCTGAGAAATAAGGTAGAACCTGTAAGGTACAGAGAGCAGGAAATAGACCTCTTACTTGAATTTGGGTGGATATAGAAACAAAAAACAATGTGATCCCTTTACGTTACATCAAAAACCTAATTATAGTCACAATGCTTTATAGTTCTGTGAAAAGACCAGATCAGATATTTATTGTAGAATGTTTTATCTTGTTTTTCAAAAAAAGCTATTTATTGTCACATTATATAAAGTAATTTAGAGTCAAATATTCAGGACTTCTTATTGATTGGGAAAAAATGTATGTTCTCCTTCCTTATTCTCAAGTTTGAGAAAACAAGAAATTACACTCATCAAACATTCCTAAATGTTCATACGATTTCTATTTTGCCTTAGGTTGAACCTGCAGCTTAAATAACAAGAGTAGCTGTACATTTATTAGCGAGCTGAAGTGTTCAAATAGCTCAAGACTAAGTTACCTTCAGAGATTTGCTTATATGGATCTTGGGGCTCTGGACACTTCAAAGAGAAGGAATAAAGTCAGCAGTAAAGTGATTTTTAAAACTAACACCACCTGGAGTTATCATCTTTCAAACCATATTTAGAATATCCAAGCAATTAATGTAATTAAGGTTCTTAAAATTGTATTTTAAAGGAAATTTTTGGTTTGAATCTCTGAATTAGCACAAGGTCTGAAATCTACTCCCAAACTTTTATTTTAGTATGTCAATGTCTCAGGAATTGCCTCCTCATTTCTACTGAGGAATCTGTCCTTAAACTGTAAGCCCCTTACCCCAAGGCCATGTTCCAGGAGGCAAGAATCCTAACAATTATATTTTACTTTCATATGTTTCCCATTCCTATACTCGTTACTTTAGGAATTCAAATGGGAGTACTGTTTTGAACATGATTGGACATTGTACTTTGAGAATTAATACAGAAGATATTATTGTGGAAAATTTAGTAGAATGAAGGCACTTACTACAAAACACCTCATTGGGCAGAATCAGTTCTCCCCTGCATTATGAAATGAACACCCCAGTCCTAGGTGCTCTAAGTATCCCTTGCTCAACATCTGTTTGTATCCACCTAGTCAATCATCTGTTTGTATCCACCTAGTCATGGCTAAGGATTACTCAGAATGGAAAACCCAAAGGTCAACTGGTTTATGAAAACTTGTAAACACAAGGATTAAGGACAAGTCTATGATGTCAGTTTGATCCATATGTGTTTGAAAGTGATCCAGAGAACAATGATTTGAATCTGTAGAGGGTGCTTGCTGCTCTTTAAAACAGCTTTCAGGTGCTTGGCAGAGTTTTCTAATCAGTATTTATCACAGTGAAGAACAGGCAAATCAGGAGTATGGAATCTATTTGTCTACTCTACTGATTTTCATTTGTTCATTGAGGAATAAAGAAAAGAAGGTAAGGAGATCTGTAGAATGCTTCAGATCAAGAACCTACCAACTGGATAGTTGAAGCAGATTTGCCTCTGCCTGCCTGGTCACTTAATTCAGAGTTGAGTGCAAGATGGTGGGAATGTCCCACATGCCCATTAACCAATGACAGGCCCTGGTGGATGAGGATGATTTAAAATTAGTGTTGAAGCCAGAAGAACACAGGTGTAGTTTTCGTCAATGTCATGGTTCCATTCCATTGCTTATCGGCCAAAATGGTGGACGCCACAAAAGACAACTTGGACACTTTAAGAATGGAATGCAACTTCAAAAACATCTAGTGATGATTAAAAGAGGCTTGAAAAGTGGTAGTTTTTATACTGCCTTTTTATTTACTAAAAAAAAAAAGATATATTTAAACAAAATTAAATTTTGATTCTTTCTGACAGAGATACCACAATGATAATAGAACTACCAAAATTATACCCTGTGACTAGTAAAATAAATGTCTCTGGAAACGTATTTATCAATTAAAGCATTTGCAGTTCCTAAACGTACACATTCCTTTTATTTACGGCAATATTACACATCTTGTAATTATGTTCTTAAAACTCATAAGTTCCCTGATAAGCCCATAAACAATCTGAATAAACCCTACATTTTTGGCTGTTCAGAATTTTTTTCTTTTTTTCTTTTTTTTGAGACAGAGTTTCGCTCTTGTCTCCCAGGCTGGAGTGCAGTGGCGTGACTTTAGTTCACTGCAACCTCCACCTCCCAGGTTCAAGCGATTCTCCTGCCTCAGCCTCCTGAGGAACTGGGATTGCAGGTGTGAGCCACAGCCATCATGCCCAGTAGAGATAGGGCTTCACCATGTTGGCCAGGCTGTTCTCGAACTCCCGACCTCAGATGATCCACCCTCCTTGGCCTCCCAAAGTGCTGGGATTACAGACGTGAGCCATAGCACCCGGCCCAAAATTTCTTTCACTCATTATCACAGTGGATTTCTAACTACAGAGTTATGCATAGATTGGTATATTGGCTTTCTAATTTAGTTTTCCTAATCCAGACATGTTAATCTATTGGGAGTAAGTGGGGATTTGCTATTTGTTTAATGCTTCATGAGATTAGAACTTCTTTAAGGTGAGTTTCTAAGCTTTTGGGGTAAGTACTATAATAAAAGTTGGCATTCCTAATTTCCAAGTTACCATAGCATCCTAGTTCAAGCCCCAGGCCAAAGAAAAGTCCTGCTTTATTAGAAAATTTTCATAGAAGTTGACCTGTAGTCTATTTGAACTCATGACACCTATTTACTGCTGCAAAGTTTCAAATACACAAAAGGTTGAAAGAATTGTATTATAATGTAAATACTCAAATATCCACTTTCTGGATTCTATGATAATTTTATTAAATCTATTTTTATGATGTATCTATTCATCCATCATCCCCCATCCATCCATAAACTCATTTTATTTTTTGATGCATAAAACAAAGTTTTGAACAAATTTAGGACTGATAAACAATAAGTGCTGTTTTGTTTTTTGAGAATGAGTCTCGCTCTGTTGCCCAGGCCGGAGGGTAGTGGCATGATCTTGGCTCACTGCAGCCTCTGCCTCCTGGGTTCGAGTGATTCTCTTGCCTCAGCCTCCCAAGTAGCTGGGACTACAGGTGCCTGCCACCACACCCAGCTAATTTTTTTGTTTTTCAGTATTTTCAGTAGAGACAGGGTTTCACCACATTGGCTAGGCTGGTCTTGAACTCCTGACCTTGTGATCCACCAGCCTCAGCCTCCCAAAATGCTAGGATTATAGGAGTGAGCCCCAGCACCTGGCCCATATTTGTAGACATTTATCAGCTACTGACATAATACAAGAAATTACTAAAGCTGAAAAAAAGATTTGCTGTAAATTTCAAAATTCCTAAGCTGCTTGTTTTTGTAATTTTAAATGCCTTTAAGGTAGAAATGACATGTGGTTTTGTGACTTTTAAAAGTTTTTGTTTGCTTATTTGTTTTAGGTTAAGAAAGACATACAAAACACTGATTTATAGCTAGACCGTTGGGCCTCTTCGTTCCCCAAACACGAAATAGTCCCCAGTTCCTATACCGACCATGAAGGTTAAACAGAAGGTCGTAACAAGTACATTAACCGCCCAAGAATAGACGTTTTAAAAAATTAATATCCTATTAGAAAGAGCTGTGTATTCTTGAAATCAGAGCTCTGCTAGACATCCCTGACACAGGCAATTTCATTACTTTTGAACAAGTACTTTTGAAGTAACAGGTGAATGTATTACAAGACTCTAAATCACAAGACAAATAGAACTTAAAATATACCTTGTCATTTGGTGATACAAGAAGAATAAAACATTTTTCTATCAAGAAAAATCCATGGATGCCACCAATTAATCCCAATAGTTTCCAAATATGACCTTTGCTTTCATGGAAATGCCCAAATTCTGAGGCTTCCTGCTTATGTAAACCAAGAACCTTCAGTGGGGAAAAAAAAAAAAAAGTCAGAAAGAAAGAAAGGAGATAACTGTTGATGACTTAAGTATCAGATAGTAGGCCGAGCACTGAATATATTTAGTTTTCATTCTAGGAAATGCCATGACAACTATTAATACAATCACTAAAAGCCCAGTTTGCTTTTGGGTATGTGAATACTCTACTGTACGCTTTAATCTGGGTCAAATAAATGTCTACAGTAGAAAACAAAGGAGCGCTTTGACTAGCTTGTGTTAATGAACAGAATGAAGCCTAAGCTTTATTTGTACAAGTGCCCTAGATTTTCATACAAACTCGGTCCTTTGGCCAAATTGTTTTTCAGGAATCCAATCTGCATCTGTTTGTACAACAATGCTTCACAAAATATTAATAAAGTTTATATTTCATCTGGGGTTGATTCTCCTCATGCCCCACTGCAATCAAAGTAAACTTTTATTAAATACTCAGATAAGTAGGAAATCCACCGTGAAGACTTGTTCTATTGAGGGCATGCTGTATGAATAGCAATATTGTCAGGTCTCTGGGACACACAATGATACAAGAAATGTGCTGGGAATTTTACTGTAATTGCCTCATCCCATTGGTTGAGTTATCCCATTGGTCAATGTCATGATTGCTTGTGAGCCAGTAGATCATTCTCTACCATATCCTTTCTCTTAGAGAAGGCAATTTATGAACTAGATCATAAATGGTTTCTAGATTTAGGATGTTACTGTTAATTTTTAAAAAGGAAAAAGAAATTATATGTGTATAGATTCTATGTGTATACATTCATACATATGTGTACATAGGCATTTATGTGTGTATGCATATATATGTGTATATGTGAGTACATATATGTATCTACATATATACATTGTATATGTAAATATCACTAAAAACCAATATATGTCAGTAAACTTTTTCTCTTGCTAAGGGCATTAAAGGATACCCACCTAATACTTCTAATGACCATTATTGCACAAAATAGAGAACATTTGTAATATCATAAAATAAAACAGAAGAAAAGCCTCAGATCTCAAAATAAAATGTAGACCTTTCAATTGAACAGATTTGGCTGACTAAAAAGGGCAATTATATTAGCATTTTTTCTCATTTCTGTGCAGACCTTTCTTTGAAAACTTGCCACAGATCACTGATTTTTCTAGCATGCCACCACACTTCTCCTGCATTTTTCTTCCTCTTTCCATCAACTTTCATCCTTGCCTCTGTTTTTTTTTTTTTTTTTTTCCTTGAGATGGAGTCTTGCTCTGTCCCCCAGTAGAGTGGCATAATCTTGGCTCACTGCAACCTCCACCTCCAGGGTTCAAGCGATTCTCCTGCCTCAGCCTCCAGAGTAGCTGAGATTATAGGTGCTTTATTAGTAAAGACAGGGTTCTGCCATGTTGGCAGGCTGGTTGGTCTCAAACTCCTTACCTCAGGTAATGCCCCTGCCTTGGCCTCTCAAAGTGCTGGGATTACAAGCAGGAACCATTGCGCCCAGCCCTCCTCTCTTTTCTTAAGCAAAAATCTGCCTACAAAATTTCATAAAACCCAGCTAATCTCTTAAATTCTTCTCTGTAACGTGTTGTGCCCATCCCCAAGTCCACCCTCGCTGTGGACTCCCCCACTGAGAGACTCAGGCTGACCTGAGAGCTTTTTTCTGTTTCCCAGGCTCCTGGGCAGTAAACAATTCTGCCACCACTGCTGTGACCTAGAAAAAAGGCCTCAGATACCACCTCTAGTCAATCATAAGCCCTGAAATATTTCCAGAAAATTAGATTATGAGGGAAATTAAAACCCATAATGGTTTTATTTCTCCAATGCTCCCTTTGAGATTTTTGGAAAATTGAATAACAACTGAGCCTCTAAGCAACAAGAGTGACCCTGCAGGAAAATGCCAGAGGCTTGTGGAAAATTTTAACCAGGTGCTCAGGCTTTGTTGGAGGGGGATCATTGGTCCACTCTCATCATACCTGGTGAGAGAGCTCAGAGTGATAAGATAACCTCATCTGTAGATGACCTCAACTCTGGTTTTAGTCCTTTCCTTTCTGACAATGAGCCTCAGCATACTTCAAAAGGAGGCAGCCTACTGGCACTTACCTGCTCCTTAAGGGAAATCTAGACATTATTAGGTAAGAAGGAGAACTCTACTGTGATGGCTGAAATAAGGAAACATTAAAGATAAGACTATTACAGAGGTGGGCAGGGTCAAGGACATAAACAGGGGATAATGAAGCACCCAGAGACTGTCAATCCCAGGAAAGCACTGCCACACTTAGGGGTGAAAGGAAAAAGGGAGGAAGGTCAGTGAGCCGTGGAGCTGGGAAGAAGGTGTCCACTAGAGGCGAGCCCACAGCAGGATCAGCCGCTCCTAGAGCAGATGCCGTAGCCAGGAGGAAGCCGGGCAGAAACACCACGGCCTCTCTCTCCTCCTACCCTGCGTTTTCCACTGGGCTCTCCATTGGCTGACTTCAAACAATAATCCAACCTTCAAGGTAGCTGAGGAGGTGCAGCCTTCGGGTAAGAATAGAGAGAAGGGCAAGTGAATTAGGCCATTTTTGCGTTGCTACAAAGAAGTATGTGAGACTGGGAGATCGATAAAGAAAAGAGGTTTAATGGGCTCATGGTTCTGCAGGGTGTACAGGAAGCATGGTGTTGGCATCTGCTTCCGGTACAGGCCTCAGACAGCTTCCAGTCATGGCAGAGAGGGAAGGGGAAGCAGGTACAAGAGAGAGAAAGCAAGAGACAGAGAAAGCAGAGGTTCTGGACTTTTAAACAACCAGGTCTTGAGTGAACTAACTGAGTGACAATGTTTTTTTGAGAAAGAGTCTTGCTGTGTCACCCATGCTGGAGTGTGGTGGTGTGATCTTGGCTCACTGCAATCTTCACCTCTCGGGATCAAGTGATTCTTCTGTCTCAGCCTCCTGAATAGCTGGGATTGCAGGCACATGGCACCATATCCAGCTAATTTTTGAATTCTTAGCAAAGATGAGGTTTCACCATGTTGCCCAGGCTGGTCTCGAACTCCTGACCTCAAGTAATCCACCTACCTCAGCCTCCCAAAGTGCTGAGACTACAGGTACACACCACCATGTGCAGTTAATTTTTGTATTTTTAGTAGAGACAGGATTTCACCATGTTGTCTAGGCTGGTCTTGAACTCCTGGGCTCAAGATATCTGCCTGGCTCAGCCTCCCATAGTACTGGGATTACAGACATGAAGCACCACGCCCAGCCACCTTTTCTCTTTTATTTCAAAAATACTACTACTATGTGGCGAGCCTAATATTGCAGCATTTCTCTTCTTCTACAAGGGCAGAGGGGCTTTGGAGAAATAACATTTCTTTTTAAAGGAAAACACCAGCCACCATATTCTCTGAAGTCTCAGTAAAATTTTGCATAAATACCTCCAGTAATTAAATGTGAAGTGAAATGAAATGAACTTTATCTGAAATGGAAAAGAGCAGCTTACCTGAGGGATAAGGTGGAGCAGAGCATCCCCAGACAGTGTACCGACGGCCAAGCCTACAAACAACTGTAAGATAAGCCTGTAGTTCTCCTCACAGCTATGGAAAAGGACCAGTGCTGTCCCCAGCATGGAGCCCACTGTAAGAAGGGTGACAGCCACGGTGCTGTAGCCATATTCTAAGTCGAAAAAGATCATAAACATTTTAATAACCCTTAGAATTTCATGTTTCTAGGCTTCCTTTTAAAAAATATTCATAAAGGACAATTTGTAAGGTTATTCCAAAGAAAAACAAATACATATATGAAGAGAGAAGAAACAAAGGAGGAAAAGGAAGAGATAAGATTAAAAGAGGGAAGAAATGACTTTCAGAGTCAGTACAGACGACAGAGGGATAAGGAGCTATTCTTGGCGTCATTTTCATCTGCTGTAGATAGTCAAAGCAAATGGTTATCTCTCTACCTATTCAGAAATTACTAAAAGTCATGGCAAACTAGTTTGTAAACAATGAGGAAGGCTAATTCCAAAATTAAACTATCATTTTCTTCAGTGATGACAGATATACGATAAATGAAACAATTCTGGTGTCAAAATACTTAAAGCTCATTGCAATTCTTAAAAAAAAAACTATCCTCTTAAAGTTTGTAGAAAATATTTTATTCTCATCATCCTTCTATTTTTCTAAAAGGTTCACACTTTAAATTATTTTATTTTTATTTTGAGACAGAGTTTCTCTCTGTCACCCAAGCTGTAGTGCAGTGGCACAATTTCGGCTTGCTGCAACCTCCACCTCTCAGGATCAAGTGATTCTCCTCCCTCAGCCTCCCGAGTAGCTGGGACTATAGGCACCTACCACCATGCCTGAATAAGTTTTGTATTTTTAGCATAGGCGGGGTTCCGCCATCTTGGTCAGGCTGGTTTCGAACTCCTGACCTCAAATGATCCACCCACCTTGGCCTCCCAAAAAACTGGGATTACAGGTGTGAGCCACTGCACCCAGCCTAGGTCATTTTAATAGTATAACTGGTAACAGAAAATAGTCTTGTGATATTAAGAGGACCTTTACTAAAATGTAAGTTCTAAATTACCCAGGGGTTTAATACTAAAATGGAGTTGGTAGTGTACTCAGAAAAGGTAGAAAAACTTTTAAGCACTTATTCCCATACCTCCACTAGCACATTTTCGCTGCTGTAGAACCTCTATAAAATGGTTTAGAAGCAAGGTGAAATAAAGAATTGTTCTTCTAAGGGCATGGAATTCTAGTTTTGCGAGACGAAAAGGTTCTATTATCTGTTGTACAACAGTGTGAATGCATCAAACCGTGCAAATGCAAATGGTTGAGAGGCCAAATTGTATGTCATATGCATTGACCAGACACCCACATCACTTTTCTTCCATCTTTGTAAGGTAGTAAAATGCCCATGTGATAGAAACTTCCCTGAAAATATTCAACCAAGTTTCATATCCCATTCTTCCCCAAGTAGACTCTACGTGGGAAGGTCATTCTCATTTATACATAAATTAAAGATATTTGAATGTTAACATGGGCACCTAGATGTTGAATACAATTTAAAGCTGTCCTATTTTAAAAGAGGTAACTGCAGGCTGGGTGTGGTGGCTCACACCTGTAATCCTAGCACTTTAGGAAGCCGAGGTGGGTAGATCAGGAGGTCAGGAGTTTGAGACCAGCCTGGCCAACATGGTGAAACCCCGTTTCTACAAAAAATACAAAAATTAGCCAGGCATGGTGGCAGGTACCTGTAATCCCAGCTCCTCGGGAGGCTGAGGCAGGAGAATTGCTTGAACCCAGCAGGTGGAGGTTGCAGTGAGCCGAGACCACACCATTGTACTCCAGCCTGGGCGACAGAGTGAGACTCCATCTCAAAAAAATAAATAAATAAATAAATAAAGTGGTAACTGTAAAAGACCACAAAATGCCAAGAAAGAAAAACACAATGACAAATTAGGGTATGACATTTCCCAGGCAAAAGGCAAAGGTGAAACTTCTTCAGTTATTTTGCTACGCCTCTCCCCTGTGGATGCCTACCATGCGGGAAAATTAATGTTTCCGAACTTCAGAGGTTAGCAAATCTTTTTAGATTTTCTGTGAGTCATATTTCGCTTGCTTTCATGTAGGAAGGACAGCCACAACACCATAAAATCTCTGACCTGTGGTCACAGGACTCTGGTAATTTACCCCAGGTCCCTGCTTAGGTGCCCTGGAGTCTTGATTGGCGTCAGGCAACTTGCAGACAGGTTCTAAAGTTTCCCATTAATACAACAGAGCTTGACCCATCCACTAAATTCTTAGCCATTTCTGAGCAGCTACTTTCAATAGATCTGAAACTTAATTTGTACATGGCCATAGTACTCTTTCCTGGAAACTCAACTGAAGGTGGTGCTTAGCAGTTGAGTTTCAGCATACTGAACAGTATTTTCTTAATAATGTCTCCCCAAGTTCTCCTCCCCTCAATAGAATACCAAACATTTCTATCATTTCAAAAGATCTTTCGAAATTACAAGTTTTCCCTATTCACACAATGCAACATTTTCGATTGAGGACCGTGATGTTCTTCTAGGGTCTTGTTTTGAAGACAGGCTCTCTCTCTGTCACCCACCTGGAAGTCAGTGGCACTGTCTATAACCCCCTGCATCCTTCAACTGTCGGGTTCCAACAATCCTCCCACCTCAGCCTCCCATGTGTCTGAGACCACAGGTCTGTATCACCATGCCTGGCTAATGTTTCTATTTGTAGGATGGGGTCTCCCTATGTTGCTCAGGCTTATCTCGAACTTTTGGGCTAAAGCAATCCTCCTGCCTTGGCCTCCCAAAGTGCTACGATTACAGGCATGAGCCACTGTGCCTGGCCTTTCTAGATTCTTTAGTGAGTGGGACATGTTGGGATGTTTCTCAGGAAGACTACTCCCCAGAAGCATCTAGAAGTTCATTTGAAAGGAGATACAACTTTTTTCATAGGTCTTAAGTTCAAAACCCTTTTCCGAGCCACCAAGCCAGGTGGTAGGAATGTAAAGGTATCCAAGGATGCTCCAGTTGCCACAGTGCAATCTTCAGCCATCTTCTGAGCCTCACTGAATGACCACCACGAGGTGCTGAGTTATTTAGCTTCTCACTATTAATGAAGTTGTTTTCCTCTCAGTGAATGCTGAATTGTATATATTTAGGTCTGGTTTTTTCACATAACATTTTCTTTTTTTATTGTTTGTTTTTCTGTTTTGTTTTGTTTTTCTAAGACATCTGTGTGAACACCTAACATTTTCAAATAAGCCACTTGATGTTACAGAATCCACTACGAGTTAGAGATGGGTGACTGAACAACTCATCTATGATTGGTATTGCGACTATCTCAAAGAGAAAGAAACACAACTCTGAGAAAATAACGTATCTAAGATCCTCAGATCAATGGTAAGTTAACGGTCACATTTTTACTAGATAAAATAGATAGTTCACAAACAACCATTTTTTTGTCTTTTCAACATACGGAGCTTTAAATTTACTGAACACATTTTTGCACACCTTGTCTTATTTGAACCTCACAGGTACCCGGTGAAGCCCTCAGAGAGATCTCATCTATTGCAATGACTTAGTGGGATACAGGTAACTGCAAATACTGATCTCTTCCCCTCCTGGGGCTGACAGCTACATCTGGGAGGCTGGTATCTCCCTGGATGGGTCACCTTCATCCCACAGCAGCCCCATGTGCTTTGGTTTATCATAATGTATTTTCATTTTTCATATATGCCATGATGTGAGACAGGCAGCCCTATAGGATAACACTGCTTTCTACTGTGCTGGAAAAGAAGTCCTGGGGAGAAATGGCTTAAGATCACAAAGTGTCTGAGGAAAGAAGGCATGACTCAGCTCTGCATTCCAGATTCCAACGCTACTGCTTTCTCTTATACCATGCCACCTCTCAACTATGGCCTTTTACGTTGATCCATGATTGAGTCAACTATAGAAGACACAATTTATTTATATAAACCACGTACAAATATAAATTCATTGAAGAATAGTATGTATTGTGGCTAGAAACAAGGACTCCAGTGCCAGCTTGCCTGGGTTTGATTGGCAACTTCATCACTTCCCAGCTGTGTGTCCCTGGGAAAGTCACTTAATCTCTCTGTGCCTCAGTTTCCTCATCTGTAAAATGGGGATAATAACATCTACCTTGTAGCACTGTTAGAAGTAGTAAGTGAGTTGATAAATGTAAAATGTTTAGAACATGGCCTGGAATATAAAAAGTATCCTGCTTTTACTATTATTATTGCACATCAGCTTTCTGAAGGAAGATCTAGAACTTACTCTCCAGAGTGGTGGGTGGCAGCTTTGCTTGCTGGTCCTTGGGCGAGTGGCAGGAGCAGCTGAGGAGTTGCTGGATGATTCCTGGACTCATTTGCTTAAAGTCCTCCTTAGAAATGGAGGAGAGGCCCTTCTGTAGAAATATCTCCACCAGCTGCCTAGCAGAGAAGCAAGTCTGTGTGAAGGAAACATACATTGTTACTAATCTCAGCACTAAACTAGATTCTTCACCAGTTATCATTCTTGAGGAGTGAATTCTAGATGGAATGACTAGAACACACACATGAAGCCAGTACGACACGTTTCCCTGCAAATGTTGATCTACATGTAATTCCTAAGGATATTTGAAATCCCTGATCAAAGTCTGCAATAGGTTGCTTTTATTCCAAGCATTATTTAGTTTAAGTGTTGCACACTTTTTTTTCCCCAGAAAGACACATTTTGTTTTACAACGTGTTCAGTGTTGTTCTAATCAGGAGCCTTAGGATGCCTTGATGTTTCTGCTGTTTTTCAATGAGGATAGCTTTGTGTTAGCAAAGACATTATGCAATAAACAGAAATCCCATGGTAATGAGGTCACTGTCATTAATATTGTTTGATTTAATCAGCCTGTGTAGGCAATGTGTACTTTCAAAAGTTATACAAGTAAAATTTTTGAAAGTAAAGCCATGTCAACTAGCTGCTGTGTAAATACCAAGTGATATGGCTGCCTCTCTCAATTGGTATCCCTTCTCTACACACACACATGACAGCTGAAAGCATCATATGAGACTTCACTGATTTTTACCTAAATCTTTACAATTTGTTTTCATATTGCAGAGGCATATTGATGAAAGAGAAGAATAAGTAAAAAAACAAACACCAGTCTCTAAAAATGGCCACAAGACATTTGTCCATCTCAGAGTAAAGGCTGACACCGGGCACATAAAAAATTACAATTTAAAAGTTTTAATAGGTGAATGAGTGACACGCAGTTTCACTAGCACAAATGGATGTTTTCTATTGAAATAAGACTGCAATGCAATGTCTCTGTGATCTTTAGTTGCGATCCATAAGATATTGTTTCAAAAATTAATGGTTTGCAAGCCTGGTCTGGTTTGCCATGCTGTAGAATTTAGGAATTTTTAACAAAGGCATTATGCTAATCAGTAAATAATTATGACACAGTTGCTGTTTGTCTTTTTCCCCAAGTAAAAATGATTTCAGGAATAAAAAGTTTAATCTTGATCAGGAAATGTTTGGGTACATGGAACAGAACCCACTTCAATAAGAAAACCATGAGGAGATTGTATTAGAAAGGCACAGATAGTCTCAAAGAAGCCAGGGATTCAGAGAATGCCCACGCTTCCTAAGGAATGACAACTTGAAGCTGGGAAATCAGAACCAAAGATGCACGATCTCTGCCCACACCCTCCTTCCTGCCCCGCACCGCTTTCCCTCCCCGAGCCAAGTATTTCCTTTTTCCCTCTACATACATCTATTTCCTTTCACAGTTTGGCCCTCTCTCATTTGGTAAACTCAAGGCCATATATGCCCCAACTTTTCACTCCAAAACCCAAGAATGCTGCAGCTGATTGATTCAGCAAAGCCACAGATGGTCTCTCTTGGGTCAGGTGTCCATTTAGGTCAACCAGTTTTGCCCAAGTAATAGGAGATGGAAAAAAGCTGTTCAAATGTGGGTGCCAAACTCTCGCCTGTGGGTGAGGAAGGCATTTCTCTGTAAGGGATTGGGCAAGAACTCCAAGCAGTTTCTGCTACAAAAAACATCCACAGAAAGCTAAAATTGTGTCTTTTTCCCTTTATCAAAATAATGTATGCCAAAGACAATATTCTCTTTCGCACCGCTTGTTATTGACAGAATCTATTTCATCATCAATAATATTGACAAAAAATAAAGGGAAACTGCCAACAAACTTCTGATGAAGGTTTCATAATACAATTCCTATCAGAAAATGCCTGACTGGTAAATGAAGGAATGGAGAGAGAAACAAGAACAAAATGCCATCCATCTTTCTCCAGTTTGTCGTCAAGTTGAATAGTTTCTAGTTTTACAGTACCTTCTCACAGACTGGGCGCAGTGGCTCATGCCTGTAATCCCAGCACTTTGGGAGGCCAAGGCAGGCAGATCACGAGGTAAGGAGTTCAAGACCAGCCTGGCCAACATGGTGAAATCCTGTCTCTACTAAAAACACAAAAAATTAGCTGGTCACAATGGTGCACACCTGTAGTCCCAGCTACTCATGAGGCTGAGGCAGGAGAATCGCTTGAACCTGGGAGATGGAGGTTGCAATGAGCTGAGATTGCACCACTGCACTCCAGCCTGGCGACAGAGTGAGACTCTGTCTACAAAAACATACACTCACACACAAGAACACCTTCTCACAGAGTAAGGTTATTGGTTATTTTATTACAAACTTCTGTGTTCTTCATCTTTGCTTACTGCTCTTGTGCCATTCGTGTCATTGTTTTATGTAAGTTTCTTCTGAAATCACTAATATAAATGTCCTTACTGGGGACTCATTATATTCTATACAATTTTGAACACAACCTATTTTTAATAAAGAATAAAATGACAATTTAGATTATGCAGCCACTAATACTTTAAACATCTTTATTCCTTCATATGTAACTTTGAAATATGCTTGCACTTACGTTGATGTCATCAGGTTTCTATGGAAGCTTTACAAACACATTCAAAAGGAGTCGTTTCGAATCTTCAGTTTTGAGTATCGCTTGCAGGGCTTGTTAAAAAAACAAAGTTCTAGGATCCACCCCTGGGGTTTATGATTCAGGAGATTCTGGGTTGGGGTTGGAGGATGGACATTTCCAACAAGTTCCCAGGTGAGGCTGCTGCTGCTGGCCTGGGCACAACCCTTGGAAAACCATCAACCTAAATAATACAGGCAGAGTCCTCAAGCCTGGTGACCCATGTTAGGAGCCCATCAAGAATCACAAAGAGAGTCACATGTTGGGACAGAGAAGAATTACTGGAGATGAGGTTGTTTTGTTTATTTTGCATAGTCAGCACAGAAAACGATTATTAGCATTCTTAGAAGATGCATGTCTTAAGTAACCCTTTAATTTTAAAACATAACCTTTCTCCTTTGTTCAAATAGGGTCTCCATAAAGAGACATGAACACAAGTGCAAGCATATCTCCATAAAGAGGCCCTGTATGTTCTCTTCCTGAGAGTTGGTCCAAATTAAGGAGACTTCACACATATGGATTAATATGGACATCAACTCTTGTCACCTGCAGTTGAATACGGTAAACATGAGTTTGAAAGAGTTGACCTCAATAGATGCCTTTTACACACGGCAGAAATAGAAGAAATTGACTTTTAAAATATATAATGGGAAAAATATGTGCCTATTTTTGTTCAACACTGTATCTCTCATGCCCAGGATGACTACTGGTGTGCAGTAAAATGCTCAATATATATTTTCTGAATTAATTGCATTCAATCTGAACTCAATGGAGGAAAAGTAATGTATTTCATTTGCCTAAATACCTTGGCTTTGTTTTTATGTCTACAGAGATGGACCTGTAGAAAAGGAAAACCGTAACTACATGGGGGAACTGGAATATTTTTACTTTTCAAGACAATACAAAATATCCTTTCAGTTTTCTACAATTCTAATAAAACTTTCACAGCTGGGCTTCCTTTCAAAACAGCAAATGCTTGCATAAGAGGAATAATGGCAATACCTGGTCCCAGGAAATTGGACCACCCTCAGACTCTTTGTCCAAAGATGAAGAGAAATTAGAATCGTCCTGATCATGGGTTATTGCATTGTTTTGTTTCCTTTGAAGTTGATGGATTTTATCCTTTTTGATACAGGTACTTCTGGTCCAGAGAGTGTTGAGGAGTTGGTCTAGTTCTAGAAATTTCATATAAAATCTGGTGTCACATAGAATATAGACAGGTCAAGTTCAGAACAGTCACAATTTCATATAGTCACAGCATAGATATTTCCTTACAAAGATATTCTCATCCTTTTTAAGCTCTAGAGATGACAAAATGAACATTTTCATCAATGAAAATGCCTTCCATGGAGTCAAGTATTTTATTTTTCTATAAAAATGTAAATTAAAGATGAAACTGGACTAATCCTTAAGAAATTATTCCTTTGAGGCATTATACATCCTTAGTAGATTAATTATTACTTTAGTTAAGTCAATCAAATTGTTCTCCTTTTAAGTGTATATGCAAAAGAGAGAAAAGCCATGAAAGGGAGACAAGATTCTAGAAACAATCTAGACCTTGTTTTCTAATGTAATGTAAAGATGATGACCACAGAATAACCAGAAAACAAATAACAAAATGGCAGGAATAAGTCCTCACTTATCAATAATAACATTGAATGTAAAAGGACTAAACTCTCCAATCAAAAGACATAGACTGGCCGAATAGATTTAAAAAAAATAAGCCATTGATCTATTGCCTCTAAGAAACAAACTTCACCTATAAAAACACACATAGACTAAACATAAAGGGAATAGAGAAGGTATTTCATGCCAATGGAAACCAAAAAGAAAAAGCAGAAGTCACTGTCCTTATATCAGACAAAATAGATGGCAAGACAAAGACTGTAAGAAGGGACAAAAGTCACTATGTAATGATAAAGGTATCAATCTAGCAAGAGGACCTAATAATTTTAAATATATATGCACCCAACACTGGAGCACCCAGATAGATAAAACAAGTATTATTAGAGCTAAAGAGAGACACAGGCCACAATCCAGCAAGAGACTTCAACACCCCACCATCAGCATTAGACAGATCTTCCAGACCGAAAATCAACAAAGTAACATTGAACTTAATCTGCACTGTAAGACAAATGGATCTGATAGATATTTACAGAACATGTCATCCAACAGCTGCAGAACACACATTCTTTTCTTCAGCACATGGGTCATTCTCAAGAACAAACCATATGTTCAGTCACAAAACAAGTCTCAAAATATTTTTTTAAATTGAAATAATATCAAGCATCTTCTCTGACCACAATGGAATAAAACTAGAAATCAATAACAAGAAAGACAAACATTTCATGTTTTTACTTATTTATGGGATCTAAAAAAATAACAATCGAACTCAGGGACATAGAGAATAAAATGATGATTTCCAATGGTTAGGGAATGTATTCGGAGGAGGGGGACAGTTATGGGTATAACAAAACTAATTAGAATGAGTAAGACCTATTATTTCATAGTACAACAGGGTGACTATAGTCAATATTTACTTGACTATTAAAATAACTAAGAATGTAATTGGAGTATTTGTAACACAAAGGAAAAATGCTCGAAGGGATGGATACTCTATTCTCTATAATGTCATTATTACGCATTGCATACCTGTAGCAAAACATTACATTCCATGTACCCCATAAATATATACACCTGCTATGTACCCACAAAAATTTGAAAAAGTAAAACAAAAAAAAGATCAAGAATTTTATATCCAGCAAAATAATCCTTCAAATTGAAGGTTTTAAAAAAAGCCATTCTCAGATATACAATGAATGAGAGAATTTACTGTTAACAGACCTGCCTTGTAAGAAATACAAAATGAAGTTTTTTAGGCTGAAAAGAAATGACCCAAATTTGCCACTTGGGAAAAGTTCCCATTTTGTTCAAGTCCACTCCAAGAAATGACTAGCACTGCAGATGTGAAAATGTGAATTAATATAAAAGACTCTATAAATATATTTTTTTCTCATTTGTTCTCCAAACTTAATGAGAAAATACTATAGGCTTCTTTTTCAAAGTCAGAAACATAATAAGGATGCGGATCACCTCCACTACTATTTAACATTTTATTACAGTTATTAACCAATGCAATTAGATGAGAAAGTAAATAAAAGCATGAGAATTAGATATTAATAGGCAAAACTACATGTATTTAGAGATAATATGAATATATATCTGAAACCCCTAAAAATCAATATAAGGATAATCATGAAGCAGTTTATAAAATTAACCTTTAAAAATTAGAAACATATATATGTACACACACACACACACACACACAAACACACACACACACGCAAAGATCAACTAGAAGATACACTCAAAGAAGACCTCATTTAAGAGAGTCAAAAAGAATGTTAAAGGCATACGTATAAACATAACAAGAAATGCTTAAAATCTATGTGAGGGAACTAAATATTTTTAAAAGCAAATCTTTCTCTTTTGAAGGATGCATGGCTACTGTGTTATTATTTTAAAGACTGGCAAATTAGAGTGTCAAGAATTTATTCTTATCTTCCCTTAAGAACCTCAATAAGATAAGTAGTAAGGAGAGGAAGTTTTTCTATTATAGGATTATTACACTAGTAAGAAAGATGAGAGTCAGAAGATCACCATTTTATAAGCCCGAAATAATTAATCAATCTAGGCAACTATCATCAATTGCTTACAACTTCTGAAAAAGAGGTGACCAGATGTTATATGCTTCCTAATGGAAGGTACTAACTACAAAACAGATAAGCAACCTTATCAAGCCTCCACATATGACAACCCCTAAACATGAAACACAGTGCACAGAAATGCCATCAGCAAAATCCAGATGGAAAAGAACCCCCTCTGTTTTCAACAAAAAACTTGCAACAAAATAGAGAAGGCAGAAGAAGTGTGACAGGTATAAAGGAAACTTAAGGGACATACCAACAATTTACATTTTATGAACTTTATTTTAATCTTAATACAATGAAAAAATAATTTTTTAAAAAATTGTAAAAACGTGAACACTGACTGAATTTTTTTTTTTTTTTGAGATGGACTCTCACTCTGTCTCCCAGCCTGGAGTGCAGTGGCACCATCTTGACTCACCACAACCTCTGCCTCCCAGGTTCAAGCAATTCTCCTGCCTCAGACTCTGGAGTAGCTGGGAGTACAGGCACGTGCCACCATACCAGGCTAAATTTTTTTGTATTTTTAATAGAGACAGGGTTTCACCATGTTGGCCGGCCTGGTCTCGAACTTTTGACCTCAAGTGATCACCCACTTCAGCCTCTCAGAGTGCTGAGATTATAGGTGTAAGCCACAGCACCCTGCCTGAATTTTTTTATTGTATTAGGGAATCATAATCATTTTTTACTCATGATACTGATAATGACATGCTTTAAAGAAAAATCCAGCTGGGTACAGCACACTCCTGTAATCCCAGCACTTTAGGAGGCCGAGGGGGCACAGTAGCACACTCCTGTAATCCCAGCACTTTAGGAGGCCGAGGGGGCACAGTAGCACACTCCTGTAATCCCAGCACTTGGATTAGGAGGCCGAGGGGGCACAGTAGCACACTCCTGTAATCCCAGCACTTTAGGAGGCCGAGGGGGCACAGTAGCACACTCCTGTAATCCCAGCACTTGGATTAGGAGGCCGAGGGGGCACAGTAGCACACTCCTGTAATCCCAGCACTTGGATTAGGAGGCCGAGGGGGCACAGTAGCACACTCCTGTAATCCCAGCACTTTAGGAGGCCGAGGGGGCACAGTAGCACACTCCTGTTATCCCAGCACTTTAGGAGGCCGAGGGGGCACAGTAGCACACTCCTGTAATCCCAGCACTTTAGGAGGCCGAGGGGGCACAGTAGCACACTCCTGTAATCCCAGCACTTTAGGAGGCCGAGGGGGCACAGTAGCACACTCCTGTAATCCCAGCACTTGGATTAGGAGGCCGAGGGGGCACAGTAGCACACTCCTGTAATCCCAGCACTTTAGGAGGCCGAGGGGGCACAGTAGCACACTCCTGTAATCCCAGCACTTTAGGAGGCCGAGGGGGCACAGTAGCACACTCCTGTAATCCCAGCACTTTAGGAGGCCGAGGGGGCACAGTAGCACACTCCTGTAATCCCAGCACTTGGATTAGGAGGCCGAGGGGGCACAGTAGCACACTCCTGTAATCCCAGCACTTGGATTAGGAGGCCGAGGGGGCACAGTAGCACACTCCTGTAATCCCAGCACTTGGATTAGGAGGCCGAGGGGGCACAGTAGCACACTCCTGTAATCCCAGCACTTTAGGAGGCCGAGGGGGCACAGTAGCACACTCCTGTAATCCCAGCACTTAAGGAGGCCGAGGGGGCACAGTAGCACACTCCTGTAATCCCAGCACTTGGATTAGGAGGCCGAGGGGGCACAGTAGCACACTCCTGTAATCCCAGCACTTTAGGAGGCCGAGGGGGCACAGTAGCACACTCCTGTAATCCCAGCACTTGGATTAGGAGGCCGAGGGGGCACAGTAGCACACTCCTGTAATCCCAGCACTTGGATTAGGAGGCCGAGGGGGCACAGTAGCACACTCCTGTAATCCCAGCACTTTAGGAGGCCGAGGGGGCACAGTAGCACACTCCTGTAATCCCAGCACTTGGATTAGGAGGCCGAGGGGGCACAGTAGCACACTCCTGTAATCCCAGCACTTTAGGAGGCCGAGGGGGCACAGTAGCACACTCCTGTAATCCCAGCACTTTAGGAGGCCGAGGGGGCACAGTAGCACACTCCTGTAATCCCAGCACTTTAGGAGGCCAAGGGGGCACAGTAGCACACTCCTGTAATCCCAGCACTTGGATTAGGAGGCCGAGGGGGCACAGTAGCACACTCCTGTAATCCCAGCACTTTAGGAGGCCGAGGGGGCACAGTAGCACACTCCTGTAATCCCAGCACTTCTTTAGGAGGCCGAGGGGGCACAGTAGCACACTCCTGTAATCCCAGCACTTGGATTAGGAGGCCGAGGGGGCACAGTAGCACACTCCTGTAATCCCAGCACTTTAGGAGGCCGAGGGGGCACAGTAGCACACTCCTGTAATCCCAGCACTTTAGGAGGCCGAGGGGGCACAGTAGCACACTCCTGTAATCCCAGCACTTCTTTAGGAGGCCGAGGGGGCACAGTAGCACACTCCTGTAATCCCAGCACTTTAGGAGGCCGAGGGGGCACAGTAGCACACTCCTGTAATCCCAGCACTTTAGGAGGCCGTTCACTCGAGGCCAGGATTCAGAGACCAGCCTGGGCAACATAGTGCCACCCCCGTCTCTACAAAAAATAAGAAAATTAGCTGGGCATGGTGACATACACCTGTAGTTTCAGCTACTCAGGAGGCTGAAGTGGGAGGCTTGCTTGGGCTCAGAAGTTGGAGGTTACAGTGAACTACGGTCCCACCACTGCACTGGAGCCTGGGCAACAGAATGAGACCCTCTCTCTAAAAACAACAACAAAAATCCCTCTCAGGGGCATTTTGATGTATAGTTTAATAATTAGTCATTTCATTTTTAACGCCTTGTCAAGTACAAAGAAATGTGCAAAACAACCCTTCTAAGTCCAGTTCTGACATCCCATTTCGTACTGGAGCCCCAAAAAGCAGGAAGTCAGGAACGCAACAGGATGGCTATTTCATGTTACTTCTATTTGAAATCAAATGACTTTTACGATTGCAAGGAAACTGCTGCCAAATATCTTGCACAATTTGGAACATTATTCCTCCATTCTACAAGACAGTTTGTTAGGCCTGGCCCAGCATTACGTCCCAAACAATAAACTATTCAGTGACTATTTAAGGCAGATCGTAAAATCTCTTCCTCCCTCTACAACCACAATTCCAATCGCTTAGAAACAGACTAAATCCACTTTTTTTTTTTTTTTTGCCTCATCACCATAGCCTTCACAGCACACTTGCCTTGAAAGGCCACCTAAGCTGTCTGACTTCATGACTCAGTAAAAATGGTATTTAAAACATACCTGAATGAATTCAGTCATCAAGAGCTTCAGCCTTTGTTTTTGGCAGGGTTTATTTAGTAGGTGTGACTTCCAAGTTAAATTCGTGAAAACATACTTACCTGATAGGTGGAGGGTATGCGTATGGTCCAACGAACTGAAAATGTACTCTGTGAAGTAGTCTGGGGAAGGCAAGTTCCCCTGTCCCAGACAAACGCCCTGGAGGGACAAAGTAATAATGGTGGCTGCCAGCTGAGGAAGTGTATTTTCATTAGCACCTTTGCTGCTCACTATTCCAGATTTTTTCTGCAGTGCTTTAGTTTCCATACACTGAAATCAGATACAAAACAAAGAGAAAATTGTAACTTCTGAAGTTATTTTGATTCAAACACCACTGGATTTCCCCCCAAAAGATAAAAAATGGTGGCTGGGTGCGGTGGCTCACACCTATAATCCCAGCACTTTGGGAGGCCGAGGCGGGTGGATCACGAGGTCAAGAGATGGAGACCATCCTGGTCAACAAGGTGAAACCCCGTCTCTACTAAAAATACAAAAATTAGCTGGGCGTGGTGGTACACGCCTGTAGTCCCAGCTACTCGGGAGGCTGAGGCAGGAGAATTGCCTGAACCCAGGAGGCGGAGGTTGCAGTGAGCCGAGATCGTGCCATTGCACTCCAGCCTGGGTAACAAGAGTGAAACTCCATCTAAAAAAAAAAAAAAAATAGTTTGCCTAAAAGAAAATTGAATCATTTGGAGAAATATGACGATCATCTTTCTCCTGTCTCAGATACAACTCTATTTGGAAATTAATTGTTTATCTACCATGGCACTGAATTTTCTAACCCTCAACCCATTGGTCCTTATTTATCCAGCGTTTCTCACTATCACCGCACCGCCTTTTTTTTTTTATGGAGTTTCACTCTTGTTGCCAAGGCTGGAGTACAGTGGCTCAGCTCACTGCAACCTCACTGGAGTTTCACTCTTGTTGCCAAGGCTAGAGTACAGTGATCTCAGCTCACTGCAATCTGCCTCCTGGGTTCAAGTGATTCTCCTGCCTCAGCCTCCCAAGTAGCTGGGATTACAAGGGTGCACCACCATGACCGGCTAATGTTTGTATTTTTAGTAGAGACAGGGTTTCACCATGTTGATCAGGCTGGTTTCAAATTCCTGACCTCCTGTGATGCAACCACCTCTGCCTCCCAAAGTGCTGGGATTACAGGCGTGAGCCACCACACCCGGCCTCACTATCCTCCTAAAGATGTGTTTTCTCCAAGGCGATCTCCTGCTCTCATTGTTTAACACCCTTAAAACTGGTGGGTTGTTTCTCTGCCTACTTTAAGACCAGCTTGCAGGAGACTGATTTTCAAGCTGACAGTCCCTGCCCTGATTTCACACAGGCTCTGCTGCCTTGAGCCCTCACAGGGTTCTCTATGTCTCATCTATCTTTAATCCCAAACTCAATGTCTGCTCATTGCACACCAAACCTAGCATGCTGTGTTCTGTGAACTTCCAGAAGACAGGACCTTTTTCAAAGATGTATACCAATTTTCCTCAATTAAATTATAAGCATCTGAAAAGCTCTAATTTTGCCTTATATCCCATTCATAATCCCATTTGGCATACTCACCATATGTCAGGCACTGTCCTAAGCCCATTTCATATGAAGTGAAGGAGAAAACAAACTCATCAAGAGAGATCAAGGGAAGGTTATGGTGTCAAGGTTGCATTCTAATGACTTAGGATAAGGAGGAAAAGTGCCCATTGAACTTATTTTTTCTTAAGTTTGTATTTGAAGAGCTTGGCAGGAGCGTATTTATAACTGTGGTCCAGAGCAGCATGGAAGGCTAAGAGTCAATTACCAAAATTTTGATAAATTTGGAGGAGTAGCCACAAGATCCATGGGTAAAAAGAACAAGTTGAAATAACAGAGTTTGAAGCTGATAGAAGCATGAGTCTTTCATGTAGACTGTGAAACAATCATAGTCTCAAAACACCATTGTGAATAAAGGAGAATTCCAACCATCGTTCCCACCCCTGAAGTCCTTTGGGTGGGGTCAGGAACACCAGCCTCCATGCAGTAGGCAGGGCTAGGAGAGATCCCTGTTCATTTACCAGGTAATCAGCCAACACTACGGAGAGATCCCTGTTCATTTACCAGGTAATCAGCCAACAGTGGAGCAAAGTAAAGAGGTGGAAACATTGAGAGATTGAATCAGGAAGATAAAACACAAGGGAGGTTTGGACAAGAGAGAAGGAATGGAGAGATGTTGCTTTCTGGGCCGTTAGGGAGCTTGCCTGGATTAGGGTATCAAGCTGATTCTCTTGGGGAGCTGGTTGAGGCCCACTCGGAGCAGCCATTAGTGACTTGATCTGTGGAAGGTAGGTCCTGTGCAGACAAAGAGCTAGAAATTCAAGTAATGATGGGCCTGGTGAGCCAGAACCCCCGCTGACCTCACATCATCTAGTCAGAAAGAACAGCTGATGTGGTGAAGTCCCAAAAGCCTCCTGCAAAGTCTGGACGGATTGACATCCAACAGAATCCTAGACCAGTTGAATGAGCTCATGGATCCTTCCCAGGAGCTAGAGACAGTGGTGTCATCCAGGTGTTCACCTGTCTGAGGCCTAGCAAAGAGTTATGACTCTGCAGGTGTTCAACTGTTAATGACTGAAACTAGCTGGATAACGGAGTCCTAGACACAATACTGATCTGTTCTGTTCTGGGGCTGTTTTATCTCAGAAACACTCAGAAACCTGAGTATTTGCAGTATGGGTAGGATAACTAGAAACATGGATATACACCCCACACAATCTGCTTTTAAGAGCTGAGTTTCCATTTCATCTCCATCAAAAGGCCATAATGGGTAGGATTAAAATCTTAGCAGCCGGCTGGGTTCGGTGGCTCACGCCTGTAATCCCAGCACTTTGGGAGGCCAAGGCAGGTGGATCTCAAGGTCAGGAGATTGAGACCATCCTGGCCAACATGGTGAAACCTTGTCTTTATTAAAATACAAAAATTAGCCAGGCACGGTGGCGTGCCCCTGTAGTCCCAGCTACTCGGGAAGCTGAGGCAGGAGAATCACTTGAACACTGGAGGTGGCGGTTGCAGTGGGCCAAGATCGTACCACTACACTTTAGCCTGGCAACAAAGCAAGACTCAGTCTCAAAAAAAAAAAAAAATCTTAGCAGCCAATTTGAATCAAATTTGGATTATATAGATGTTGCACAGAAGAAAGTATATGTAGGCACACCTCCTGGTTTAAGTAGAAAACAGTTCTGTAAAGGAACCCCTTTTTCTTTTCTTTTCTTTTTTTTTTTCTTTTAGAAATAGGGTCTCATATTGTTGCCCAAACTAGAGAGTAATGACACCATAATAGCTCATTGTAACCTCAAACTCCTGGGCACAAGCGATCCTCATACCTCAGCCTCCTGAGCAGCTGGGACTACCAGCTCATGCCACCACATCCAGCTAGTTTTTTTAATTCTATTTTTGTAGAGACAAGGTCTTTCTATGTTGCCCATGCTGATCTCAAACTCCTGGCCTCAAGTGATCCTCTTGCCTCAGCCCTGCAAAGTGTTGGAATTATAGGTATGATCCGCTGGAATGGGCCTAGGAACCCCTTTTCCTAAAATGAAAATAGGAATTATGACTGAACTTTGAAATTAACAGGATTAGAGCTATGGATGTGATATTCACAAAGTCCTGAGCAAACAACTTCTTCATTTGCTTTACCAATAAAAGAAATTAAACATATTTACAGCAAATTGGAGGATATGTTTGCTGGTAGTTAAGCTGCGGAATGCCAGAATTGAGAGCAAGAACTAAATCTGTCTATAAATGTTTATGAATAATTCAAGAAAAAAGTGATTTACCCACACTCTTCAAAATGTAATAATGGCTTCTCAATTAACTGAAAAAACAAAAAAAACTGTGGCTTAAATAAATCTTATGTTCAGAGAACTTCATCTGCTGAGATTTCCCACTGCAAACCAGAAAGGGAAAACCTAACTGAAAGGCCAGTTTTGCTAGAATAGTAATAAAGGCAACAGAGACCAGGTGGGAGCTGGGAGAGAGAAAAAACATTTGAACAGATCCTCTACACAGGCAGCACAAATCAAAAGCCACAGAGGGATATCATCTAGGGCTGGCAACCATGAGTAATGCTTTTTGCAAGCTGCCTCTTCAGTGAAATAACTAATGATAATTCATCGCTTTCTAAATGTCTCTGCCTTCTCTTTTCCCAGCCAGAAGGCAAAGAAAATAGACACCCTGGTCACCACCACTACAGCTCAGTCCCTGGAGACTGGTCAAAAAGCGCTGGGTCACACTGACTCGAGTGCTCAGAAGGACCCAGAAGAAAAGTACCCTGTCACCTGGACTGCCTACCCACCCACCCAACTTCTGGCGAAAACTCCTCTTCCAATTAGTCATTACACTTCCTCTTTTGGACTCACAATTTTGAATTATGTCATTTAACATCTCATAACCAAAACCCACAAATACGTACTTCCCTTAGAAGTCCTTGAATGTCTTAGAAATAAATAAGGAACAAAAAATAAGGCTCTGGGACTGCATCTTAGTAGCAGAGCCAGTTTGCAATTTTGCCTTCTTACCTGGCTTTGAGAAGTGTCAAAGTACTTCCTGGTGAAAGCCAAGATATCTTCTGTCTCATTCTGTGAAAGGAAAGAGGAGTCTTCATCCTGCCTGAGGCTCAGTAGACTATGTAGGTAAAATCTGTACTCTTTATTACTCATGTTGAGCTTTGAAGAACAGATCTCTTCCTGGTGAATAATGTAATAGAGAAGGAGAAGAGAAGCTCTCTGGACCACTTCTTCTCTAAGCTGATCTTCAGAATTTCCTCCAGCTATTAGTAATAGTGCATCTGGTTCAAAGCACTGTGGAAGAAAACAGTAACAACAACAGCAGCAAAAGAAACAAAGATTAGCAAATAGTTCCAGAACACAAATGACCACCTGGGCCTTCAACGCGTATCATTTTATAAACAGAAAGGAAAAACGAGCAGGTCCAATAGCCAGATTCAGAGAGTTGGACTCCTACGTAACAATGATGCCCTTCTAGGGACCCTTTCTTTCCACTAAGGGTAATTTCCTCTCTATAATTACAGTGGCCACAGGTTGTTGATCTGTCGCCTTGTATAAAACAGATTATTCTTTGGCTTTTAAATTGATGCCCATTTGCCTTGAGAACAAAATCCAAACTCCTTGCAATCTTCTTTTTGCTTTGGCTCCTGTCTACTCTACCCTCCTTTCTCCTAGCCTTGGTCCAGCATCTCACTGAACTCCTGCCCCGTAGTTTTATGTCAACTTCACCAAATTCTTTCCCATGATCTTCCAGGTCTCCTTGTTCCCCTCATTTGTCAGGTTTCAGCTTAAAATGTCACCCTCTCATGACGCCTTTCTAAAGATTCCCAACCTGTGTTCCCTAGTACAGAGCTATCTGATAGAAATACAAGGCGAGCTGCAAATATGATCCACATATGTCATTTGAAGTTCTCTAGTAGCAAGGTTATAAAAAGTAAAAAGAAACAGCTAAATTAACTTTTGTAATATTTTCACCTTATATATCTAAGATTAAATTATTTCAGCATGTAATCAACATTTTTTTTAATTAAGATATTTTGTATTTTTCTTGTTGAACAAAGTCTTTGAAAACTGGTGTGCATTTTACACTTAGCAGCACATCTAAATTTGGATGAGCCACGTATCAAGTGTCCAACAGCTACATGAAGACTAGTGGTTACTCTGTTGGACAGCGCAATTCTGGCATGCACCATTAAACAAAATGTCTTCAGAGCACTCATACTCTAAAACTGCGTTGTTTACTTGTTTATTTTTTCTCTTCTCTATGAGAACCAGTGGTCCATTAAGGGTAGACTTCATCTCCTTTGTGCACAGTTCTATCCTCAGCATACAGCACAATATCTGGCACTTAAGTGTTATAAAAATTTAACAAATGACGTCCATCTGCCCCTCTTCTATCCTATTTAGGGAAATTGCTAAAAATGATTTAGTTGAAGGGAATTGGAACATACTACCCCAAAATACGCCACTGTGGCATATTCTTTATTTTGAGCTGAAGGCAACTGAGAAACAGCAGGTACAGGAAGGATTCTCTGCCCTTCCCCTTACTATCTAAAAGCAGGGAATATGTTTCCCATGAGAAAGGATTCCTTGCTGTATCAGCAAGAGGAGAACATTGTTATCACTGGAGATGGGGAGTTAATGCTGAGATGAACCTATACAAATTAACCTTACTAAAATAATCCTTCATTGGTATAACTGTTTAAAAAATCATTTTGGTTTCCCATGTAAATTTCCTAGTCACTTTGGCTCACGCCTATAATCCCAGCACTTTGGGAGGCCGAGGCAGGTGGATCACGAGGTCAAGAGATCGAGACCATCCTGGTCAACATGGTGAAACCCCGTCTCTACTAAAAATACAAAAATTAGCTGGGCATGGTGGCGCGCATCTGTAGTCCCAGCTACTCGGGAGGCTGAGGCAAGAGAATTGCTTGAACCCAGGAGGTGGAGGTTGCGGTGAGCTGAGATCGCCCCATTGCACTCCAGCCTAGGTAACAAGAGCGAAACTCCGTCTCAAAAAAAAAAATGTAAGAAGCATCACACTGAATTTGGGCTGGGCGCAGTGGCTCAAGCCTGTAATCCCAACACTTTGGGAGGCCGAGGCGGGTGGATCACGAGGTCAAGAGATTGAGACCATCCTGGTCAACATGGTGAAACCCCGTCTCTACTAAAAATACAAAAAATTAGCTGGGCATGGTGGCGCGTGCCTGTAATCCCAGCTACTCAGGAGGCTGAGGCAGGAGAATTGCCTGAACCCAGGAGGCAGAGGTTGCGGTGAGCCGAGATTGCGCCATTGCACTCCAGCCTGGGTAACAAGAGCGAAACTCCGTCTCAAAAAATAAAAATAAAAAAAACAATTTACCATCTCTAGTCCAAACTCCCTTTTTCTCTTACTCTTGTCACATCCCCACAATTTATTACTCTTTGTTAAAATGGTATACAAGCCCCTCCTTCTTTGGGTTTTCACTCTTTCTACGATGCCCCTATGCTACATAAAAATATTAACATCAAATAAAATTTGTATGCTTTTTCTCATTAATCTACCTTTTGTTCATTTAGTTCACAAGCCCCAGCTACAGAATTTAAAGTATTAGAGAAAGAGTCTTTCTTACCCTACACTGTGATGCCTTATTTGTTTTACAAACCACAAGCACATGCCCAGCACCTGTAATCCAAGACATTTACGTGGCATAAGCAATTGGATACATTGAGACATGGGACAGTGAGAAAACAGACACAGGAATTGTGGACTGGAAACTTTCTTAGCAAGAGGGAAGCTACCTTTCTTTGGAGACAGTTGGGAAGCCCCTAAGAATCTCATAGAACATGAGAAGCAGCCCCAGAACATAGCCTCAGAATGTAAGCATTGAGAAATTCCTGTCCTGAGTCCCAGAGAGATTTGTCCCATGGTGGGGATATAGCACTAGAACATATTTTAATCTAGTCTTCTTTGAAGTGGAAGTTTTGGGGGCTCTAATTCCAGGTCTGCTGTATAACTCACTGTGTAGCATTTGCTATGTAATCATCTGAGTCAGAAAGAAACAAATGTTATCTATCTCCAAATCAAAGCATAATCACATTCTTCATAAAACCACACAGATTTAATCCCTTCTGAACCCAACTACAGGGAGTCAAGAACCCGGGGTTCCACCAAGACCAACTCTCAATGTGGACATTAGGCTCCACCTCTAAAACCTCAGCGTCCCTTTTCTGCTCCCTAAGTAGCCCAGAAGAAAAGTCTACACCTTGGTAGCCAACGGCAAGGCAAGACCCAAAAGGTTAATCTGTTGAAACAAAAGAGTAATAAAGCCATTATTTGAATCAAATGAGCTCCTGAAACCAAACTACTGGTATTATTAGCTACAATTATTTGGTAGCCATGTGCCCAGCAATGTGCAGCATACCTTTGCCTTCAGTTATTCCTTGGTATATAATTGGTTCTGAAAAATGCATAAAATAATCAATTTTTTGATAGTAAGAACCCTATTGTGTGAAAAATAAAATGTCTCCAGCCTATGTAATAATCCGCCATTTTTTTTAATCCGCCATTTCTAAATATTTTCTTTATATAACATAAAGCAATTAGAAGACCAATTACTCAATTATTTAATGCACCATGGATTAATGAATAAATTATGTATAGTATGCAAGGGTGCTATAAAGAATACATGAATTACATCTTTCTTCATGAGAAAAGTTTACTCATAGAATATGTGAAAACCAAGACTAAAGTGGGTAAGAAACTTGCCCCAGGCTACACAGCTAATGGTGGTGAACATTACTAGTCTCAATTCCTGCTCTTCCAAGAACAGGCCTCATTCTTTTATTTCTTTTGTGCCATGGAGAGCACAGGCTGTGGACCCACCACCATACCTGATGGGTAACCCCTTCAACCAGTAATTTTCTCTCCCTTCCATTTGATGAGAGTAGATGCCACTTAGATGGCTACAAGATTGGTCCAAATCTAACATCCATCGGAATAAGAACATGGTACAACCAGAGCACTGAATGAGTTTATGTTACACTTTCAAGTGCTACTCAGGTGGCTTGATGGGGCTGGGTAGGTAGAAAGAAGAGTGTCGGTGATGCAAGAAATAGGGCATTCATGAGGCCACAAGACCACACACATGTGGCAGGGCTTGGGGGATGAGCACAGGGCAGAGCATGTAGCCACCTTTCAACCCATCTGAGATGCTGAGACTCCTGTCCATGCATCACTCTTCCTCAGTGTCTTTGTCGTGTGCCTTTCCAGGGTTGAAATTGGAATGCATGGCACAGAACAGCAGAGAGGAGGGTCCTCACTGCAACCGTGCAGGTAGGCATTCCAGAACTGTGTGTAAAAGGCATACAACCTGGAAGGTACAATTGGTTTCTGGCTTTGGAAAGCTTGAAACAGTTGTAGAAGTACCTTCTTTTGTCTGAACAGAGATTTTGGTAACCTTGAATAAACAGGTGTTGCTTCACATTTGCTTTATTTTGAGGCCTGCTAAATTAAAGCTTAACTGTAAATCAAATAACACTGGACTGGAAACTTTGCTCCCTTTTATGATATTTGAATCTTAAACAATTAATTTTAATACAGAAGGCAGTGGCGTGAGGAAAGAATACATGTGGAAGCCTCAGAAAAGCTAACATAAAATAAGAATTCCTCCCCTAGACAGAGATATGACAAAAAGCATTATTGAGGCTGCTGGATGAGGGCAGAGCTGGAAATTTCAGTTCATCAGCACTAGATTTGTTTTTGTTAATGATTTAAAAGCTGGCTCAGTTGTGTTTGGGAGAGGATGTTTAGCAAAATTTTGCAAATACTGCCACCCCACAGGCATCAAGATCTGTCCAAGGCTACTCCCTCTGGTGAAGCAATTCTTTGTTTAAGAAGAATGGACTCATTCAGGAATAATCCATTGATTTTCCTTTTAATCTTGTCAGGTGGGGGAATAAGGTTTAAGGAGGGGGGGGAAAAAACCTCATGGACTCTGAGAATTAGTTTTATTGACTTTATAAGGAAATAAACTTTGGGAAAAGACTGATTAAAATGCAACGAAAGGCTCCCCTTACGAGCTAAACAGGCTACTCAGATACTTGGTAGTAATTATCCACCACATCCTATAGCTACATTACATGGCCTCCCTCAGCCTTGAAATACAGCATTACTTATAATCTATGCCAGGTAAGAGCCTCAGTGGACAAAAAGCAGCATGGTAGCTGTCTTCTCCTACATTAATAAGACAGCTGTCAGGCCTCCAGGGTAAATTTCAGGGGTTTTAGACTGAAAGATGTTTAAAATTGTATTTTGAGTAATGGGTAAATCTTATATTATAGAAATCTAAGAACTTAAAAGACACTGTCCTCTTTATAAAAACAGAGACTGTTCTCTTTCAATTTCTTAGGTTTCTATAAGGTCTTTTTCTGGGGGGTAGCTAACAACTGACTATAAATGGAAGAGAGAAAGCATGTTTGTTTTTTTTTTTTTCCTGACAAAGAGCTGGAAAGATGTTGGTGATGGCAAGTACTGGCTCTTTAGGGTTTGTACTAGTTTAGAGGCTTTTCTGACTGACAAAAAGTTTTTAACTAAAAAGGATTAAGAAAAAACTGATAGATAATAAGACAAAGCTTGGTGTTTTCCATACTTTATTCCATGACAGTTATGACAAATGAGTCAGTGGTGAGGGCCAGGTGTAGGAGAGACCTTTAAAGCAGTAATTTTCTCCCTTGAAGGTGTCTAAGAATCACCTGGAGAAATTGGTTTAAAATCCTCAGACTCTAGGACAGTGGAGAGGGGCCTGGGGCACAGGTGGGTGGGAGATTCTGAGGAATGGCACTGCTCTAGTGTCCCTGGAAAACAAGGAATCAGACATTGCTGTGAGATGCAAGGAACAGAAGGAACTTGAGCTCCTATATCTGACTTTCTGCATGTGTGTCCATGAGGTCCTCAGAGATCTGATTCCTAAGGAGAACATGTGTGTCCATGAGGTCCTCAGAGATCTGATTCCTAAGGAGAACATGCGTGTCCATGAGATCCTCAGAGATCTGATTCCTAAGGAGAACATGAGTGTCCAAGAGATCCTCAGAGATCTGATTCCTAAGGAGAACATGCATGTCCAAGAGATCCTCAGAGATCTGATTCCTAAGGAGAACATGTGTGTCCAAGAGATCCTCAGAGATCTGATTCCTAAGGAGAACATGTGTGTCCAAGAGATCCTCAGAGATCTGATTCCTAAGGAGAACATGTGTGTTCATGAGATCCTCACAGACATTTTCCTGGGGAGCACATATGTATCCATGTGATTTTTCACAGCCATCTCCCTCTGGGGCACATATATATCCATGTGACTCTCACAGAGGTCTGAGCCCTGAGGAACACGTGTTTGTCCATGTGATACTCACAGATCTCCCCAAGGAGGGGCTCCTAAGGAGCCTTCCAGGTGAAGAAGCTGAGGCTCCTCATGTCCCAACAGTAGAAGGTACCAGCAGAGGGCTCTTTTCCTTTCAGAAACCTGCGTAGGGCTATGGTTCTCATAATTACTGAAGTGGAATGTATTGTTTGGGAGTTATTTAATGCCTCATGAAGTTCATTAAAACTATATTCTGACCCTTCTCATTAAAGAAAGAAAAAGCCAGAATCAGCCGAGAACTCTTCATTTTCAAAGGCTGCAGCTTGACTGAATTTATTTTAAATGTGCAATGCTCTCAGATACTTCAGATTGGCTTTTTAAAAAATTCACTTTTTACACAGACCTAAAACTGGAAGCATTTTTCCGCCCCACAAATTCAAGATACCCACTTCCCTCTTCCTTCAGATATTTAGGGATATGAACAAACTCCCTTAACCTCTCTTTTTACCACGGGATTTGTGGCATGAACCCTGCCTGTCAGCAGACAAAGTCCCTCAGTGACAGAACAGACTGGAGCCTACGCTGAAGCCCTGTGGTTTCCGCCATAACTGGGTGTTTGTGAAATCAACAGGACTCCGTTTCCTCTCTCTTGTCATGAGTGATGGGACACATTTCCTAAGCTTCTCCCTGACGGGTGATTCAGGTGAACTGAAGCCTTCTGAGCAGGTAAAGCTGAGATTAACTTCTCAGTTTCTTTCCTAGAAAAGGAGGGTGAAGCTATTCAAGATGGTGTTTCAAGTCCTAGGGATGGAACCAGTTCAAATGGGGACCAAATCAGCTAAACTCCTGATGTCACAGAAAACAATAAGCGCAAAACAATCCTTCTCCCAGTCCTGAAAATGGAGAACAATTCTGCATATTCATCTTCGCCCCAGCAAAACTAATATTGGACCGGCCTTAATAAGGCATGTCACATCATTAAAGGAGAACATTCCCCTGAAGCGAATCCTCAGAGGACATGAATAAGAGATGACTTCTGGTTATTTCCAGTGGGACGTCTTATGTTGCTATCTATATATATTAATGTCATCACAGATGAGTTGCCTATTATAACACATTTCCTCTGGGAACCATTGGGTATTTTAATAATTATTGAATTATTTATTGCTCACACAAAGCAGAGAAAAAGTCTCTATGAGCAAGACCTCTTCTGTCAGGAAGAAACAAAACACTTAGTCAGAAAATGTTCCCCTCCCCGTCCCCCTCCCACCTCAGAGCTATGCACGATTGAGAAGTATACCAAAACTTGTTTTGGAGACAGTTAGTAACTTTTGTTTTATTTACATATTCATGCTTTCATTTATGCTTTTATGGGTCAGTAATGGGATGGTGGAGTATGTCTCATTTTTTTCTGCAGTTATTTAAACACATGAGCTCTCACCTCCTACCATCCCACCCCACCCTCCCTAATGAACATTCTCAGCCACCACGGATGGCATATTAAAGTGACCTGGAGATACTTTAAAAAATTCTGTGCTAGGCAAGTAAAATCTCAATCTCTAGAGGATGAAGCCCAAACATGGGCATTTTGGGAAACCTACTCAGCTGATTCCAGTCAGGGTTGAGCTTGACTTTGTAGCCTAAGATCAGGCTATGAATCAGGCCTCAGGAGCCATGGGTCTGACTTCAGCTCCACCTACAGCACCTGTCACCCCGGCTCAGATTCCTCATTGGTAAAAAGATGATTATCTAATCATTAAATACGCTCCATGCATAATATTAGAAAATGCCATGCCGAGAGAGAAACTACTCAAAAATCTAACGTTGGACAAATATCAGATCACCATTATTGTGCACCAGAAAACAAATAGCATCTAAAACTAGTCACGTGCAGGTGCACTGACGGCTTTAAAAAAGATTAATCAGAAAAGAGGACTAAAAGTTCACACTCCCAAATGAATACCTCTAAATATGCAGAAAGATTCTAGAAAGCCTCATATAAACATTATTCCTTCTCCAACAACAAAAATGGCCCTAGATGCTATAAACAGACTGCTGAATGATTTTCTGTATCCCAAATATGGAAATTATCTTACCAGAATGCATTGCCCCATTGCATATTGGAAGACTGGCCTGTGATTTAGCTTTACTGAAATAAAACCCTATAGAATCCACCGCTTTCGTTTGGACATGTCCTGATACATGACACGATTCTATGTCACTAACCAGATTGCAATCTCCTTGCATTCCATTTCTCCTCCGTGGACACCCAGTTTTCTCCAACAATGTTTTGATGAGGCTTCTTGAGTGGCTGTGGGGTATGTGGTCACCAGCAGAGAGAACCTGCAGTAGGTCTGCCAGTTGGCCTGAACTCCCACGACCTCTGCTGTCTTGGGTCGAGGGTTTGTCTGTCTCAGTGGAAAAAACAAGGCCCAGTAGAAGAAACAGCGGCACCCAGGACACTGAAAGCTTTGTCCAGAAGCACATTTCCACACTTCCTCCACCTTGAGTCTGTCTTGGTTGGAGATGAGTGTGTTGCCGTTTACAGGGTAAACTTGTAACCAAAGGAATTTCTGTGGCAAAGGGGAAAAATAAAGCCTTCAATTATTGTGCCTGCAACATGTTTGAAAGGACTCATTAATTGGGTGGCTAAGCTGATTTGCAATGACAAGCTGTTTCTACACAGCATGGGGTCTGTAGGTAATTTTTTTACCCAAAGGGCAGGAAAGTACCATGGCTGTAGACTCTCAAACTGCCCAACAGCCAAAAAGCTTGTTAGATTCCCTCTTCCTAAACTAAACATAGCGTCACAAATGAAGAAGAGTAAGTTTCTTCATTTACCAGTAAGTGGTACAAGTTATAGGACCCAGGTTGGGAAACACCTTATATTTATCCCATTATAAAGAACTCCAAATTATTTGTGGTCCTCATCCCTAAATAAAAAGAGAAAATAAATTCTACTGAATCACCAACATCATGTTAAAAGGTTTTAGACAAGGAAAAGTACTGGAAGAAAATCATAATGTTCTGAAAACACAGGTCTGTTTTTTTAGTTTAATGAAAGTCAAGATTCTAGAGTAGGAAGCATCTTAGAAAAACAGAATTCCAAGACCTCAAGAACATGACAGACACGCTCACTCTGTGGTGACTAAAGGAGTGGGGGGCAACTTTAGAACCAGTCAACTTTCTGGGAGAAAAAATTATCTTTCTGTTTATGGCTTAAGGCATGTAAAATGTTAACAGCATCTCACTTCTGATCCTGGCCAGAGATGAGCTAGCGGGTAAATGACTGTAGGCTAGTAACAGAGATATTGGGATTACTTTTATGAATTAAAAAAAAAAAAAACCCAAAGACACTTTTAGGCTGTTATGTTAGCATTTTAAAAGTGACAGAGAATGATGCAACCATTTCTAACCCCAGTGCTTACCTTCAGAAGAAAGATAAACGATTCTTTATCTGGAGCTCCACAGCCCTTTAAATCTTGGAGACGATTTCTCAGTTACAAAGTTCCCTGTTTTTAAAATTCTTTGACTGTGCACTGGGAGCTAGAGAGGATTATTTCAGCCCAGAGAAGTTTTCAGTTGCTATGGAGAGAGCTGCTCTGAAGGTAACAATGAAGGTGGATAAAAGGGAGAACTTTCTCTCTGGTAGGTTTTCAGGGTAATCAAATCAGTGTGGTTCATGAATTTAATGTTTTAGATCAAGATTTAACCAATTTTTTTAGGCTCACCTACTGTCACTTGCCTTGCAAGGGACAGAATCTAGGTCAAAGGATTTCACCTTTCAGAATAGAAAGACTAGTGTTAGATGAAGAGTTTTTTTCTCTCTAGTTGATTTTGTAATAACTGTTTCATCCAGGCTCTAACCAAGGATATGTCGAAAAGATAGGCTCTTTGGAACCATATTTATTCTGCAAGATGCAGATGCCTAAAAGATTGAAGGCTTTCATAATTAGATGTTTTCAAATGAAAAGTATTGGTTGAAGGAATGAAGTTCTTACCAGGGAAGTAGGTGGTATAAACCAGGAACTTTAATCAGCTGCATATATTGTGAAGACCAGCATTGCTGGTAGGAGTTACTATGTCAGATCCTTCATGCTCCACAAAACAAAGCCTCTCAACAAGTTATTAGTGAGTAAATGACTTAAGGAACAAAGTGGTTCATTTTCTAGAAGGCAAGAGAAGTTAAACCCTAAGATTTCGCAGTGGGCAAAGTACACGCCACAGTACAGGGGTTTAAATCTGCTGGTGGGCAGGGAGCGGAAACTAGAGATCAGGATAATTAGCCTCATCACTAACTGGGTATGAAATACAGGGACTATTCCTGAGAGAATGCTGGCAACACTGACGGAAATACAAAAGGCAAATATTCCTAGAAAATTCCAGACCTTTTTTTGTGGGGTGAGGATGGAGTCTTGCTCTGTCGCCCAGGCATGAGTGCAGTGGCACAACTGTGGCTCACTGCAACCTCCATCTCCTGGGTTCAAGTGATTCTCCTGACTCAGCCTCCTAAATCCTTGGGATTACAGGCATGTGCCCCCACACCTGGCTTTCTTTGTATTTTTTAATAGAGACAGGGGCTCGCCATTTAATGATGGCCAGGATGGTCTCAAACTCCTGACCTCAGGTGATCCACTCACCCAGGCCTCCCAAAGTGCTGGGATTACAGGTGCATCCACTGTGCCCAGCCCAGGCTTCTCTGTAATAAGCCCTCAGGAAACAGTGGGGTTTAACTAAACTGTCAAGGAAAGGGACTTGGCTTGTGTCTTGCGAGCTCTGTGCTGAGATTAACTGGAGTCAGAGTCTGGAATGAGCAATCAAAAGGGGGAGCAGGGAATTGGACTGAAAATCAAGCCCTTTAAGCCAAGAGTCCAGTGGGTGGAGAAGCGAGGAGGGAGGAGGCTCAGGACTAGAGGGGCACTCGAGACCACAGCTCCCTACCAGCTCCTCTCAGTGCCACCTGTCATCCCCTCGGTGGGGACCAGAGATTCTGGTACATCATGTCTTTGTCTTCGTTGGTTTGAAAGAACTTATTTATCTCTGTCTTAATTTTGTTATGTACACAGTAGTCATACAGGAGCAGGTTGTTCAGTTTCCACGTAGTTGTGCGGTTTTGAGTGAGTTTCTTAATTCTGAGTTCTAATTTGATTGAACCATGGTCTAAGAAACTGTTGTTATTCTGTATTAGCGGAGGAGTGTTTTACTTCCAATTATGTGGTCAATTTTAGATTATGTGTTACGTGTCACTGAGAAGAATGCATATTCTGTTGATTTGGGGCAGAGAGTTCAATAGATGTCTATTAGGTCTGCTTGGTCCAGAGATCAGTTGAAGTCCTGATTATCCTTGTTAATTTTCTGTCTTGTTGATCTAATATTGACAGTGGGATGTTAAAGTCTCTCACTATTATTATGTGGCAGTCTAAGTCTCTTTGTAGATCTCTAAGAACTTGCTTTATGAATCTGGGTGCTCCTGTATTGGGCGCATATATATTTGGATAGTTAGCTCTTCTTGTTGCATTTATCCCTTTACCATTATGTAATGCCCTTCTTAGTCTTTTTGATCTTCATTGGTTTCAAGTCTGTTTCATCGGAGACTAGGATTGCAACCCCCGCTTTTTTTTTGCCTTCCATTTGCTTGGTAAATATTCCTCCATCCCTTTAAGTTTATATGAGTCTTTGCACATGAGATGGGTCTTGACTATACAAAGAAGAGAGAATAATCAAATAGACACAATAAAAAATGATAACAAGGCTATCACCATTTATCCCACAGAAATACAAACTATCATCAGAGAATACTATAAATACCTCCACACAAATAAACTAGAAAATCTAGAGGAAATGAATAAATTCCTGGACACATATACCCTCCCAAGACTAAACCAGGAAGATGCTGGATCCCTGAATAGACCAATAACAAATTCTGAAATTGAGGCAGTAATAATAGCCTACCAACCAGCGTTTCTTAAAGTGACACTTTCAGGCATAAAAGAGGCTAGTGGAAATACAGAGTTGGTATCAAGAGGTCTGGTGGGAGTGGGCACTTCATTTCATAGCTATTCTGAGTCACTATGAGGGAAGCACTGTGTACGCAGGTGTATTCGTGATCCATTTGTGCATGAAAAATCAACACAAACGTAGTCACTTACAAGTCAAGTGGATTATTTCATGATTTCTGTGGGTTACAAGTCCAGGTACAGCTCAGCTGGGTCCTTTGCTTCTGAGTCTGTCACAAGGCTACAATCCAGGTGTCATCCAGCACTGGGGTTTCTTGTGAAGGCTCAACTGGGGAAGAATCCCTTTCGTGTTCATGTGGTTGTTGACAATCTAATGTAATCTAAACACAGAGTGACAGCCCATATTTTACTGGTCAGAGGTGAATTGCAGGCCCCACCCATGCTTAAGTGCAGGGGACACCATATAGGTTTGAATACCAGGAGGTGGGGATCACTGGGTACCATAAGGTATTGAGGATAGGGATGGGAAATTATGAGTCAGTATGACAATTTACATCCAAAGTCTGTGTGTGTCACCTCTCCTCTCTCCAGGGGAAGTAGGTGGAACTTCTAATGACATTTTCTTTATCTCCTAACCCACTCTCTAATGTTGCCTTTAAGTCCCTCTGAATTAGCTCCAAATAATACCAACCAAAGGACATCTTCAATGTTTGATATTCATTTAGAATCTTGAGAATTTTTTTCTTTTTAAATTAGCCTTATTTGTTTGATCCTAAAATTAAGAGCTCTACTTTCATATTAAAGAATACTAAAGTACAAGACTATCAGATGTAGATTTTTACTCCAAAAATTAAAAACATTACTGTTTCCAGAATTTTTTTTAGAAAACCAGAGGGATGATATTTAATACTTTATTCTGCTTTTAAGATTTTGGTGTCAATTGATGGATATATCAAAATTATGTGACTCGTGTTAAAATTTCTATCTTTTAAATAGCCTTTAATTATAGTTTTTATTTAAATGTGAACTCAATTATTTCCAAGAAAGAATAATTTGATGTTATTTATGTGGATTGGACTAATGGCATTGACAGCATTCTACCAAATAAATTGTTCAATGATTATGCAATGGATTTTTGTCTCAGCATAAAAAGGGACCATTCCAATATTTGTGTAATTATTACTATAACATGTAGTAAAAAGTAAAGCATTTATGTGTAATATACAGATTAAAACTACATAAAATACATTCATGGCAAAAACACTGGGTATCAATAAACTATTAATAGCCCACTGGTGGTAGGAATGTAGGTAATTTTTCCTTCTATCTTTTATATTTCTACATTCTATTGAAAACTTGTATAATTTTGCACAACCAGAAAAAAATCATTGTCTTAGTCTATTTTGTGCCGCTATAACAGAATACCATAGATTGGGTAATTTATAAACAACAGAGCTTTATTTGGCTCATGGTTCTGGAGGTTGGGGAGTCTGAGGTTGAGGATATCTGGTGAAGCCCTCCTTGCTGCATCATAACGTGGCAGAAGTGAACATTTTTGGGATCTAATGCTAAATGTAGAATCAGAAGCCATCAATCAATGAATGGAATTCCTCCTATTAGGGGAGGGGCTGGAACCAGCAATGGAAGATTGCAGTATGACAACAATACAGAAGTATCAAAATGCCCTTGAGCTGAAGAAGTGGGCAAAGTCCCGCACTATGGACACGGACCTCAAGTGAATCAAGCAACTCTTCCTACAAGATGTTAAATTCATTGAGGAAATAGTACTTTCCCTTGAGCTGGTTAAACCCACCTATCCAATATTGAGGAAAACCACTGCTTTCTCAAATGGCTTATCTGTCAGTCAACAATTACCCACAGTGCTGTGATAGAATGGTAAACTCATGTGAAAAACGTCACCTTCAGTCTAACTCTGGGCCTCCATGCAGGCTGATGGAGGGAAAGTCCATCCTCAGGTGGGGCCAGAGTCCCAGGTGAAACATCATGGAAATTATCAGTTGCACACTTGAGTAATTGCTAAGAACCTTCACATCCTAATCCCCATCTTCCGGTTAGTCCAGTTTTGGTGATGGCCTCTGATATTTCCACTCTGCATACGGGGCTCAGAATCTTTACAAAAACTGAACGTTTGTCTCAATTTTAGGCATTCCTCTGAGGCCTGGCTTCAGAGGCTGTGTCACCCAGGGCACCGTTTCAGCACAATGTGTTAGGCTCTGGTTCTCACTGGAACCAGTGCCTGTATAGGCAGCATTTCCCTCCTTTTCTTCCTCCTCTCAAAGATGCTTTCATCTCTTCCCTCATCCTCAGGGCCCCTGGCATCATCTCTTTCATGAAAGTTGGCTCTTATAAAGGCCAGAAAGTCCCTTTCATATCAATCAGTTCTGCTTGTTCTGTGCAAAAATTCCCAAAGCAAAAGAGCACTAAGATTCTAGATACTGGTTTGGAAAAGGAAAGGAAGTAGAGCAGTATTTTAAAAGAGAAAATCACAGAATGATTAACATTATAGAAATGGAGAAAAATAATTCTTAACATTTATCAAAGACATGCTTCCTTTAACAATATATTTTTTTCAGAAATAGTGTATGGAAAAGTTTAATTCAACAAGTTATTCAGCAAGCACATTTTAGGGCCTGCCAAGTGAAATATGCGACTATAGATATAGTTTGTATATAACACAAAGATGTATAGCATCAAAACCCTGTTCTTCCATGCGCTATGTCTAGTAGGAGACCCTGGCCCCTACTGACACAAAAAGGTTGAGGATATATCCTGTGTTCTACCAGTAAAGAGGATTTTCCTTTTAATTAAACTTCAGAGAATTGAAAATCATATAAAAAGATAAACCCAACTGGGGGTTTGTAAAGACAGGGAACCACAAAATGAGACAGCCTTACCCTGAGCAGTGGGTCTTGACCTTGTTTTGCCTCTGCATCTTCTTCCAACAAACTTTTCCTCAACTACTTCCCAACCTTCCATTCTCCATTTCTCTAAACTGATTCATGCATCATCTTTCAGTTTCTGCATTACTTTCTCACACCTGGCATAATTCCCAATGTGCACCTTCATGGCTTCCTGTAAGTTTCCTTCATTCTGTTCCATTCAATAAAAATAAGTTATTTCTGTCGGCAGTTAAACTCTGTCTACCTGCCGGGCTATAAAGCCTGCAAGGAGAGGGACTGTATCTTTCTCTCACTGCTGTATCCCAAGTTTTCACATCATACCTGGCATACAGGGAGTCCTCAACAGATATTTGATATATAATGAAATATTTGTACAACTCACCATAATGTAGAATCAGTGGGCGCCCTGAGCTTGTTTTCCTCAAACCAGATGGTCCCTTCTGGGGGTGATAGGAGGCAGTGACAGATCAACAGGCATTAGATTCTCATAAGGAGCATGCAGTCCAGCTCCCTCTCATGTGCTGTTTACAGTAGGGTTTGCGTTCCTATGAGACTCTAACAATGCCACCGATCTGACAGGAGGTGGAGCTCAGGTCGTGATGCCAGCAATAAGGAGCGGCTGTGAACACAGATAAAGCCTCCCTAGCTCGCCCACTGCTCACCTGCTGTGCTGCCTGCCCAGTTCCTAACAGGTGAGACAGGCACGGTGGCTCACGCCTGTAATCCCAGCACTTTGGGAGACTGAGGCAGGTGGATCACCTGAGGTTGGGAGTTCGAGACCAACCTGACCAACATAGAGAAACCCTGTCTCTACTAGAAATACAAAAATTAGCCTGGCATGTGGCTCATACCTGTAATCCCAGCTTCTTGGGAGTCTGAGGCAGGAAAGTCGCTTGAATCTGCGAGACAGAGGTTGCAGAGAGCCAAGATCATGCCATTGCATTCCAGCCTGGGCAACAAGAGCAAAACTCTATGTCAAAAAAAAAAAGCCCGGGTGCCATGGCTCACACTTGTAATCCCAGCACTTTGGGAGAATGAGGAGGGCAAATCACCTGAAGTAAGGAGTTTGGGATCAGCCTGGCAAACATGGTGAAACCCTATCTCCACTAAAAATACAAAAATTAGCCAGGTGTGGTGGTACATACCTGTAATCCCAGCTATTCAGGAGGCTGAGGCAGGAGAATTGCTTGAACCTCGGAGGTGGAGGTTACATTTACCTGAGATTGCACCACTGCACAGAGTGAGACTCTGTCTTAAAAAGAAAACCAAAACAACCTACAGACTGGTACTGATCTGTGGCCAGGAGGGTTGGGGACCCCAGCTGTAGACAATATGTAATGACCAAATCAGGCTAACTGAGACAGTCATCACCTCAAATGTTTATCTTTTGTTTTGGGAACACGAAAATCCTTCTCTTCTAGCTATCTTGAAATATTCAAATAAATTCTCATTCACTGTAATTTCCCTTGTGCACTATTGATTACTGTAACTTATTCCTTCTATTTAGGCCTTCTTGTCTTTCATTCATTCCTTTTTAAAATTATTTTCATTTATTTCTGAGACAGTCTCTCTCTTTCTGCCAGGCTACAGTGCAGTGACATGATCTCGACTCGACTCACTGCAACCTTCACCTCCTGGGTGCAGGCAATTTTCCTGCCTCAGCCTCCCAAGTAGCTGGGATTACAGGCGTGCATCACCATTCCTAGCTAACGTTTTTATTTTTAGTAGAGATGGGGTTCCACCATGTTGTCCAGGCAGGTCTCAAACTCCTGACCTCAAGCAATCCACCCACCTCGGCCTCCCAAAGTGCTGGGATTACAGGCATGAGTCATAGCACCCAGCCATTTATTCATCCTTTCATTCATTCATTCTGTGAATAACTACTGCCTGGTTATTATATACCCGGCAGGGTTCCAGGCTCTGGGGAAACAGCAATGAGCACAACAAAGTTACTGCTCTCCTAATAGATCCATCATTCTAATGCGGGGGTGGGGGGGAGACAGGAGATCCATAAACAAACCATTAACACAGACGGCACATCAGGTGGAGAGCGCTATGACAAATAAATACTAAAGCAGGTATGGCCAGGTACGGTGGCTTCCACCTGTAATCTCAGCACTTTGGGAGGCTGAGGTGGATGGATCCCTTCAGGTTAGGAGTTCAAGACCAGCCTGGCCAACATGGTGAAATGCCATCTCTACTAAAGGTACAAAAAAAATGACCCAGATGTGGTGGCACCTGCCTGTAATCCTAGCTACTCAGGAGGGTGAGGTGGGAGGATTGCTTGAACTTGGGAGGTGAAGGTAGCAGTGAGACAACATTGCATCACTGCACTACAGCCTGGGGAACAGAGCAAGACTCTGTCTTCAAAAATAAAAAAGTAAAGAGAAATCAGGTGCAGGTTAGAGTGCATTAGCATGAGCAAGGGTGCTCTGGCGGTGGTGAAGGTGGTCAAGAAAGGCCTCTCTGTGAAGGTGACGGACATGAGGGCTGAGCGTGGGGACTCCTGGGGAGAACAGCATGGGAGGGCCCTAGGTGTTGGTCCCATTCATGGTCCTTTTGTTTAGTTTTGTTTTGTTTTTGACACAAGTCTTGCTCCGTCGGCCAAGATGGAGTGAAGTGGCACAATCTTGGCTCACTGCAATCTCCACCAACCAGGTTCGAGGCACCTCAGCCTCCCAAAGAGCTGGGATGGCAGGCGTGAGTCACTGTGCCTGGCCTATGCATCAACATGTTTAAATTCTTCTGAAAGCTGTGCTTTAGGAAGATGTGCTGACAGCCATCAGAAATAAATGACAGAATGGCAGGACAAGGATCACGTCAGTGACAGGGTGGCTGTGGACATTTGCTGGCCAGCAACAGAAAAGCCACTCAGACCCTGTATTCTACCTCTGCAGCCTGTCTGCACCTGAACCCTCCTCCCCACATCAGCGGAAGCCTGGAACTCTCAGAACAGCAGACTTCACCGGCCGCTGTCACCTTCACCAGAATGATGTGATTAATTCATTCATGCAGAAGACAGCAGGAACCCTGAGATAACAGGATCCAGAATGTGTGGGTTTTGATGGACAGGGTGATAGGATCTGGGAGGCTCCAACTACCTCACCTCCTAAGCCCCACTCTCCTTCCCCAGTCCTGCTCGGTATAGAGACTAGAGTGACAGAACCAGAAATGTAGACGCTTGGAAGGACACCAGCGACACGGAGAAGAGGAGGCCAGAGGTCCACAAGGTGCGCAGCTCCTGGCTTCGGATGCCCAGGACTCTGTCCAGAAAGGCTCCCTCACAGCCATGGAACTTGATGGTCCTCGAGTTCCTGAGGATGGAGCTGGTGAGCCGGGCCCACAAGTCCTTCTTCCTCATTTGCTCTCCTGGGGTTGAAGGGAAGAGAGATGAAGACACGGCTGGTCCAGAATTTTCCCCTGCACCCTGACAGTCACCCTGCAGCAAATCCCACTGATCCCACCAACTGCGTCCCAAAGCTGTCTGCCTCTCCGCATCTCTGACCCTCAGTCCTGATCCATCCACCCTCATCCTGTTCCTGGACTCCTGCAGAAGCTGACCCGGGACCACTGACCCAAGACCACTGCCCCAGGGAGGCGGCTTCTGATGCCCAGAGCACAGAGGCTGCCCCTGAGCCCACCTGGGTATAATGCCATCAGGAAGGCTACCTGGAGGTGGGTAATGCCTGAGCTACATCTTTCTTTCTTCCTTTTACAATTTTGGTGGAGTTGTGGGGTCTCGCTCTGTTGCCCAGGCTGGCCTCAAACTCTTGGGCTCTAGTGACCCTCTGCCCCTGGCCTCCTAAAGTGCTGGGATTACAACCTGAGCTACATGTTAAATGACCAGGAGGTGGATGCTGGGCAGGCAGAGGATAAGGGGATGGAGCTGGGAAGAGGGAGTGAAGGCTCTGAGACAGGGGGCAGCAAACACCTAGGCAGAGGGAGCAGCATGACTCAGAGGACACTCAGTGTGGCTAGAGGAGTGCGTGGGCAGGGTCACTTGGCACTTTAGGGTCAGGCAGGAGTTCGGGGTCTGTGCTTCACCGGCAGAGGGGCATCATCAGAAGGCAGCTGCTTGGAGAAGGTATTTTGTTATTTTTTGAGATGGAGTCTTTCTCTGTTACCAGGCTGGAGTGCAGTGGCACGACTTGGGCTCACTGTAACCTCTGCCTTCTGGGTTCAAGTGATTCTTTTGCCTGAGATTCTGGAGTAGCTGGGATTATAGGTGCCTTCTACCATGCTCAGCTAATCTTTGTATTTTTTAATAGAGAGATCATTTTGCCACTTTGGCCAGGCTGGTTTTGAACTCCTTACCTCAGGAGATCCACCTGCCTCGATATCCCAAAGTGCTGGAATTACAGGCGTGAGCCACCGTGCCCAGAGGAGGCCATGCCGGAGGCTGGAGATACAGTCCAAGTGACAGATGGACATTGGGACAGCTGAACCTAGAGAGAAAATAAGTTTCTTCCCTCCATCCCCCTTCCCTCCCTCCCTCTCTCCCGCCTGCCTTTCTTTTTCTTCCCTACTCCTTTCTTCTACTATCCTGCCTTTCTGTCCTTTCTTTTTTCCCTTCTCCTCCCTTTCTTGCTTTCCTCCCTCATTCCGTCTCTTACTTGTTCAACTCTTTCCTTCCCTCCATCTGTCCTCAACTTTCCTATCTTTCCTTCCCTCCCTCCTTTTCACTCCTCCCCTCCCTCCTTTCTCCCCATCCCTCCCTTTTTTCCTTCCTCTCTCCTGCCCTTCTCCCCTCCCTCCCTTCTTCCGTAGTTCTCAAACACGGTCCAGCACCTTCTGCATAAGAACTAACTAGATACTGAGTCTACCACAGGGAGTGGCCCATGCTGCTGTGGAGCTTCCCGACTAAGGAGAGCAGGGCCATCAGCCCCTGCCAGGTGCTTCCTGCAGGGCCCTTTAGGAAGTGGGAAGTGCTGGGGAAAAGCAAAAACGAACCCAGGACAGGCCAAGGAAGGGAGCTGCTGGGAGGAGAGGGATGGGCGGGTCATGCCCTTGCTGGACAATGGTGATGGAGGTGGCCCTGACTGCAGGGGGTGCTGCAGGGGACAAGGGTCTTCTGGAGTGAGGGTGGTTCAGGAGGAGGGAACAGCTAAAGCAGATGCCTGGAGAGATGTGTGAACATCAGGCAGGTGTGAGGATGGGGAAGGGGGGTAGGTGGGAAAGGGAGGGAGACAGGTGGAAGGTGAGGCTGGAGGTAATGAGGCAGCTCAGGGCGGGCCAGGTGGGCCACTGTGGGGCCTTTCGCTCAGAGTGAGGAAAATGGGGCCACTGTGGGTCTGAACAGAGGAGGGTGCAATGGATTCAGCTCACACAGGTCTCCTGTGACTGGAAGTGGAGAAAGGCTGGGGCAGAAGTAAGGAGTGAGCCAGGGCCTTGCTGCCGGATGCATTTTCAAGATGACTCCAAGCAAAACTGCTGACTAATGGGGTACAGGAGAAAAAGGCATTGATCTGAACCAGGGCCTGGGGTCTGAACACTGGAGGGAAGACCCACCATCCAATGCGATGGGGAAGGAGCAGGGCAGGTCTGCACAATGGGCCACTCACAGAGACAAGAACAAAGCCAGACCCGCTGGCTCCCACTCCGCTCTGCCCTCCCCATCGCCCACACCAGGGCCTGTGTCTTCCTCCCTACTTCCTGCCTGGTCTGTCTTTTTCCCAAAAGCCGAACCTGACAGTGATTCCTCTTCTTGGTGATGAAGAAACTCAGAGGCAGGTGGCTCAGGAAGACAGTGATGATGGAGGGACCCAGGAGCTGGGGACAGAGGGACAGAATGTCAGGAGATCCCAAGAAGCACAGCTGCCAGAGGCTTGTGAACCACAGCTGCTCCATCTTCAACAGGAGCTGGTAAAAGGAGGCTAAGACCTACTGGGCTGCATTTCCAGGCAGTGAAGCCATTCTGAGTCACAGGATGAGACAGGAGGGCGGCACAGGATACAGGTCACAGAGACCTTGCCAGTAAAACAGGCTGCAGAAAAGAAGCCAGTCCAAGACCCACCAAAACCAGGATGGCGACCAGAGTGACTTCTGCTCGTCCTCACTGCTACATTGCCACCAGCGCCATGACAGTTTACAAATGCCATGGGAACATCAGAAAGTTTCCCTATAAGATCCACAAAAGAAGAGTCATGAATAGTCTACCCTCATTCTGCATGTCATGAAGAAATGACCCTAAAGACGGGCACCAGTGCCCTCTGGGCTGCTCTACGGAGTAGCTATTTTATCTTCACTTTCCTAAAATACTTGCTTTTTTGGGAAAGAATAAACTTGCTCTGTGGCTCACACCTGTAATCCCAGCACTTTGGGAGGCTGAGGCAGGTGAATCACCTGAGGTCAAGAGTTCGAGATCAGCCTGGCCAACATGGTGAAACTCCGTCTCTACTAGAAATATAAAAATTAGCCAGGTGTGGTGACATGCACTACTGTGGGTGATCCCAGCTACTCGGGAGGCCGAAACAGAAAAATCACTTGAACCCGGAGGCGTAGGTTATAGTGAGCCAAGATCACACCGCTACCCTCTATCTAGCCTGGGCAACAGAGTGAGACTCCATCTCTAAAACAAAACCAAAGCAAACAACACAACAAAACAAGCAAAGAAACAAACAAATGTGCTTTCACTTTAGGGACTCATGCTGAATTGTTTCTTGCAGGTGATTCCAAGAACCCTCCCTTGGGGTCTGGATCGGGTCCCCTTTCCTGTAACACAGCTGCAGATCCTGAAGAGGGTCAGACTTGGGTCCTAAGATGCAAAGTCAGGGAATGTGATAAAAGCAGCCACCAGGTCCCAGGGATCTGGGCTCATGGGGGTCTGCTGGGTCAGGAGGTCCCTGCTGAAGACAGGGTCCTTCAATGTCAGGGAGGGGAATGGCCCACTTACACGACGGGGAGAGGGTTATATTCAAGACAGAACATGCACACACAGGAGTAGGACTGCGGGGTGTTCCTGGACACAACAGTGAAGTTGAAACCCCTGGAATCAGGACTGGGTTCAAATCCTGACTCTGACACTTCTGAGTGTGGCCTTGGGGCAAGTCACCTCCCTAACGCGCAATTCCCTTGTCTGCAAAATGGGAACAGAGTTGTCCTCATTTTGCATATTTGCTTATTACATTTAAGTATTTTTCTAATCTTCACTTTACCCTCATGAGGGTTGTCAGACTTGCAAATCATCATACAGGTGCCCAGTTACCTTTGAAGACAAAGAGTGAATAAGGTGAGGACCGATCCAAGATGGCCGATCGCTAACATCTCGGGACTGCAGCTCTCAGTGAAGGCGCAGAGAACTAGATGACGCCACACTTTCAGACAAATTCTGGTCACTCACGGAGTAGAAGATCCCCAGTGGAGGAATCACACGGGTCGCCAGCGCAACTTTCGTGGCCGGCGCAGCGGTTCCGCCAGCACCTCGGGGCGGCAGCTCTAGGAGCAGAGTAAACCGGTTCGGAGGACCCACAAGGGCCCCCAACACGACACCAGAGCCTGGCGCAGGGGCTGTGATGGCACCTCGGCGCAGCAGCGCTCGGCGCAGAGGCGCAGAGTAAACGGGACTGGCTCCCCTTCTGACCGAGGTTTGGAGCCCCAGGAAGGCAGAGTCTCCCACTACGGACACAAGAAGGAAGCCAGACAAGAGAATCCTGGGCAGAAAAGCACCATCAGTTTTAACACCGCTGCTCTGGCCCTGGGAACTAACAACCTGGATGCCCACTCAAGAGACCTAATCTGAAAGTTGGTAAATTCAAAGACCACAGGAGGATAAACTTACAATGACGGGAAGAAACCAGCATAAAAAAGCTGAGAATACTCAAAGTCAGAATGCCTCTCCCTCTAAAGATGATCACAGTTCCACATCGACAATGGAACAAGGCTTTATGGAGAATGAGCGCATCCTGATGACAGAATCACTCTTCAAGGAATGGATAACAACAAACTTCGGTGAGTTAAAAGAACATGTTGTAGCCCAACATAAAGAAACTAGGAACTTTGAAAAAAAGTTTGATGAAATCCTATTGAGAATAGACAACTTAGAGAGGAGTATGAGTGAATTAATGGAACTGAAGAATACAATACAGGAACTCCGAGAAGTATGCACAGGTTTAAACACTGGAATTGTTCAAGCAGAAGAAGGGATATCAGAGGTCAAAGTCCAACTTAATGAAATAAAACACGAAGAAAACATTAGAGAAAAAAGGATAAAAAGGAATGAGCAAAGTCTCCAAGAAATGTGGGACTATGTGAAAAGACCAAATCTAAGTTTGATAGGTGTGCCTGAATGCGACAGAGAGAATGAATCCAAGATAGAAAATACCCTTCAGGAAATTATTCAGGAAAATTTTCCTAAACTAGCAAAGCAGGTCAATATTCAACCCTAGGTAATACAGAGAACACCACAAAGATATTCCTCAAGAAGAGCAATCCCAAGGCACATAATCGTTAGATTCACTAGGGCTGAAACGAAGGAGAAAATACTAAGGGCAGCCAGAGAGAAAGGTCAGGTTACCGACAAAGGCAAGCCTATCAGACTTACAGCAGATCTCTCAGCAGAAACTCTACAGGCCAGAAGAGAGTGGGGGCCAATATTCAACATCCTCAAAGAACAGAACCTTCAGCCCAGAATTTCATATCCAGCCAAACTAAATTTCACAACTGAAGGAAAAATAAAATCTTTTATGAACAAGCAAGAACTCAGAGATTTTATTACCACCAGGCCTGCTTTACAAGAGCTTCTGAAAGAAGCATTACACACAGAAAGAAACAACCAGCATCAGCCCTTCTAAAAATATACCAAAAAGTATAGAGCACCAACATAAAGTAGAATTTACATCAACGAATGGATCAAACAACCAGTTAACATCAAAAGGCAGTAACCCTAAATTTAAATCGACTAAATCCCCCAATGAAAAGACACAGCCAAAACCCAACGGCCTGTTACATCCAGACCTGTTTCACATGCAAGGATACACAAAGACTCAAAACGAAGGGATGGAGAAAGATTTACCAACCAAATGGAGAGCAAAAATAAATAAATAAATAAAAAGCAGGAGTTGCAATTCTCGTATCGGATAAAATAGATTTTAAAGCAACAAAGATATAGTGGTAAAAGGATCAATGCAACAATAAGAGCTAACAATCCTAACACCCAGATACATAGAGACTTAGACACAATGAGACAGAAAATTAATAAGGATATCAAGGACTCGAACTCAGATCCGGAACAAGTAAACTTAATATTTATAGAGCTCTCCACTTTAAAAACACAAAATATACATTCTAGTCAATACCACATCACACGTACTCATAGGTTTAAATGAAACATTGATTGGCCGTTATTAATACCCATTTTTTTTTAAGAATAAAGCAATATTTCCACTCACTCTCCCTCTTTCTCTTCCTCTTTCTTCCTCTCCTTTACTCATTTTTTTCTTCTTTCCTTCACTCAAAAAAAAAGAAATCAACTTGTAAACCTCTAGATCTAGGTCAGCAATGTCTCTTTCATTGCTTGAATTCCTTCCTTCCCTTCCCTCCCTCCCTCCCTCCCTCCCTCCCTCTCCCCTTCCTCCTTTCCTTCATCCCTCCCTTCCTCAAAAATAAATAAATAAATAAGAGTAAATAAGGTTTTAGTTTAAGTCTCGTGCATTATTTGAGACATACACTGAGAGTCCAAAACTCTCACTTCACTGGATGTCCCGTGTTTTCTCTGGCAACCCTGCTCCCTACCAACGTGGTGCTTTTGGGATACTTATCTCCCCACTCTCCGCTTTGGTTTCTATATCTGGAAAATGTGGAAGTGGGAGTAAAATAAATGATGTTTAAGTTGCTCTGACTTTCTGAGAGTCCTTCACAGGTTACTTGAACCCATTCTGTCACCAAGCCCCAACCCAACTCCAGTCTGCATGCCTCAGTTTCCCCTCTCAGTCCTTAGGAACACTATATATATATGTTTTTTGAGATGGAGTCTCGATCTGCTACCCAGGCTGGAGTGCAGAGTCGTGATCTTGGCTCCCTGCAACCTCTGCTTCCCAACCAATTCTGCTGTCTCAGCCTCCTGAGTAGCTAGGATGACAGGTGTGCATCACTATGCCTGGCTAATTTTTGTATTTTTAGTACAGAAAGGGTTTCACTATGTTGCCAGGCTGGTCTCAAACTCCTGGCCTCCAGTGATCTACTCACCTCAGCCTCCCTAAGTGCTGGGATTACAGGTTTGACCCACTCCACCCAGCTCAAAGAAAGTAGAACACTATTTTCGAATGTTGGGTCAGTTTGTTTCATTTATGCAGCAATGGCGTCACCTGGTGGCTTCATGGAGAAGTGCCCTGAGGGTAAACCACCCACAGCAGGGGTTGGAAAAACTCTCAAAGGAATTTGACAGAAGATGAGCATCTCTCTCTGGGGGAAAAATGATTCATTAAACTGTAGCAACCTCAGTATTTACCCCTCCTTCACCAGGATCTCATGGTGATGTTAGGAGCTGTCTACCAAGAGGCAGAAAAAGTGCACAGGGAAAGTGACACGGTGCATTATCTGCGGATCTCTTGGTCTTCTCTGAAGCTTTTTTTTTTTTTTTGCGGAGGAGTTTTGCTCTGTTCCTCAGGCTGGAGTGCAGTGGTGTAATCTCATCTAACTGCAATTTGGACCTCCCGGGTTCAAGCGATTCTCCTGCCTCAGCCTCCTTAGTAGCTGGGATAACAGGCACATACAACCATGCCCGGTTCCTTTTTGTATTTTTAGCAGACACAAAGTTTCGCAGTGTTAGCCAGGCTGATCTTGAACTCCTATCCTCAAGTGATCTGTCCACCTCAGCCTCCCAAAGTACTGGGATATGCCTGGTTTTCTCATTTTATTTTTCCTTTTGTTTTTTTAGACAGAGTCTCACTCTGTCACCCAGGCCGGAATACAATGGTGTGGTCTCGACTCACTGCAATCTCCACCTCCCGGGATTCTCTGGCCTCAGCCTCTCGAGTAGCTGGGACTACAGGCATATGCCATCACACCTGGCTGATTTTTGTATTTTTAGTAGAGATGGGGTTTCATTATGTTGGTCATGATGGCCTCGAACTCCTGACTTCTGGTGACCCTCCCACCTCTGTTTCCTAAAGTGCTGGGATTACAGGCCTGAACCACCATGCCTGGCCATGGGTTTTCTTGAACCAAAGTATATTTCTTGTCATGTTTAACAGAATTGTGCCCCAGCCCTGTACTTTCCCTGATTCATCCTCCTTTGAATAGCGAACCTCTTAAAAGCTGTAATGAACATGGAAGAGCCACTGGCTGGGTGAGCTGGGTGGTGGCAGCGGGGCTGGGATCCCAGCAGTTGGCATCCCCTTTTCCAGGATGTACACATGGCCTCATGTACCTGTCCTTTTATCTCCTAGGTCAGCTGGTTGACACCGTCTGGGGGAAAAAGAAGACCAGATCTTGTTTTCATCCATGTTTGAAGACAATATCACCACCCACAACATTACTGTCAGTGCGTGCCCAAGCCACCAGTAGCCTAGAAATATTTAGACCTGGTTTATTAACCATACATCTGCCAGACCCAACCCAGCCAAAACATGAAATCTACTGTGCTCAGTGATCCACATCTGTAATGTGGGAGGCCAAGGCGGGTGGATCTCCTGAGGTCAGGAGTTTGAGACCAGCCTGGCCAACATGGTGAAACCCCATCTCAACTAAAAATATTAAAATGAGCTAAGTGTGGTCATGCACACCTGTAATCCCAGCTACTCGGGAAGCTGAAGTGGGAGAATCACTTCAATACAGAAAGTGGAGGTTGTAGTGAGCCGAGATTGAACCATTGCACTCCAGTCTGGGCAGAGCGCGAGACTCCATCTCAGAAAACAACAATAACAACAACAAAAACACAAAATCAAACCCCCGCCCCCCTTTTTTTTGGAGATAGAGTGGGACTTCCTGTGTTGTCCAGGGTACAGTGCAGTGGTAAAATCATAGCTCACTGCAGCCTCTTACTCCCAGGCTCAAGCAGTCCTCCCACAGCCTCCTGAGTAGCTGGAATGACAGGTGCATGCCACCATGCTCAACTAATATTTGTGTGTGTGGAGATGGGAACTCACCATGTTGGCCAGGCTGGCCTCAAACTCTGGTCTTCAAGGGATCCTCCCATCTCAGTCTTCCAGCGTGCTGGGATTACAAGCATGAGCCTCTGTTCCTGGCCAAAATCTAATTACACATTCATGAGTGACCAAGGGCATTAGCTTCTGTGTCCTCTAACAATGAAATGGATTATTCCTTGAGTATAACTTTGCTGGGAATGCTATAACAAAGTGCCACAAACTAAGTGTCTTAGAACAAGACAAATTTGTCTCGGGCCAGATGCTGTGGCTCATGGCTGTAATCCCTGTAGTTTGGGGAGGATGAGAAGATGTCTTGAGGTCAGGAATTCGAGACTGGCCAGGCCAATAGGATGAAACCCCATCTCTACTGAAACAATACAAGGCTGGGAGTGGTGGCTTATGCCTGTAATCCTAGCACTTTGGGAGGCTGAGGTAGGCAAATCATGAGGTCAGGAGTTCAAGACCAGCATGGCCAACATGGTGAAACCCTGTCTCTACAAAAAATAGAAAAATTAGCTTGGTGTGGTGGCACGCATCTGTAATTCTAGCTACTCAGGAGGCTAAGGCAGGAGAACTGCTTGAACCTAGAAGGTGGAGGTTGCAGTAAGCTGAGATCGCACCACTTTACTCCAGACTGGAAGACAGAGCAAGAATCCATCTCATATAAAAAAAATTATCCAGGCATGGTTGCATGTGCCTGTGATCCCAAGCTACTCTGGAGGCTGAGGTGGGAGGACTGCTTGAGCCAGGGAGAATGAGGCTGCAGTGAGCTGAGATCATGCCACTGCACTCCAGCCTGGGCGACAGAGTGAGACCCTGTCTCAATAAATCAATAAATAAAATAAAAAGTTGTTGTCTCCTAGTTGGGAGGCCAGAAGTGTAAAGTCAGGTGCCTGCAGGCCGGGTTCTCTCTGGAGGCTCTGGTGAAAAATCTGTCCCAGCCTCTCTGCTGGCTCAGGCATCCCTTGACTTAGAGTGGCCATTGTCCTTCTATGCATGTCTGTCTCTGTGTGCAAATTTACCTTTGGGCAGGCACAGTGGCTCACACCTATAATCCCAGAACTTTGGGAGGTCGAGGCAGGATTGCTTGAGGGCAGAAGTTCAAGTCTAGCCTGGGAAATATAGTGAGATGCAGTCTCTACATAAAATACAGAAAATTAGCTGGGCATGGTGGAACACACCCGTAGTCCAGCTACTCAGGAAGCTGAGGTGGGAGGATCACTTGAACCCAGGAGATTGACGCTGCATTGAGCTATGGTCACACCACTACACTCCAGCCTGGGTAACAGAACAAGACTGCCTCAAGAAAAAAATATTTTACTCTTTCTTTTTCTTTTAATGGCAACAAATTTCCCTTTTAGTAAGGACACCAGTTATATGGGATCAGGGCCCCACCATCGTGACCCATTTTAACTTGATGACCTCTGTAATGACCTGGTCTCCAGATAAGATCATGCCTGTAATCCCAGCACTTTGTAAGGCTGAGGTGGGAGGATCACTTGAGGCCAGGAGTTCAGGACCAGCCTGGGTGACATAGTGAGACTTCACCTCCACAAAAACAATAAAAAAAAAAAATAGCTTGGTGTAGGGGTGTGTACCTGTAGTCCCAGCTCCTTGGGAGGCAGGAGCACAGAGCGAGCCCAGGAGGTCGAGGCTGCTGTCATCTGTGATTGTGCCACTGAACACCAGCTGGGCAACAGCAAGACCTAGTCTGTCTCAAGAGAAAAAAAAAAAGTTTGCTGATCTAATGTGGGGTAATTTTTTAAAACTTTAACTCTGTATTTTTTCATATTGCTTAGCTTTTCCACATGAACTCTGTGATTATAACAAGAAAATAGCAGTCACATTACATTTTTTTGTTTTTTGAGATGGAGTTCTGATCTTGTTGCCAAGGCTGGAGTGCAGTGGCATGATCTCTGCTCACTGCAACCTCTGCCTCCTGGGTTGGGCGATTCTCCTGCCTCAGCCTCCTGAGTAGATGGGACTACAGGCGCATGCCATCCCCCACCTCGCTCATTTTTGTATTTTTAGTAAAGAGGGGGATTCACCATGTTGGTCAGGCTGGTCTGGAACTCCTGGCTTCAAGTGATCTGCCTGCCTCAGCCTCTCAAAGTGCTGGAATTGCAGGCATCAGCCACTGCACCTGGCCATTCTTATCTTTTTGTCCACAGAAATGACCAGCATTTCAATTTTTGTCTTGTTTTGTTTTTCTTAGATGAAAAAAAACTGGCAGTTATAATTATAAAGGACAATTTGCATTATGGGAATCTGGGAGTCCTGCCAAGTTCCGGAATCAAAGTTGGTAAAAAGAAACTGGGATTATATGGTGGGAGCGGTGGCTCACGCCTGTAATTCCAGCACTTTGGGAGGCCGACGTGGGTGGATCACCTGAGGTCAGGAGTTTGAGACCAGCCTGGCCAACATGGTGAAACCCTGTCTCTATGAAAAAAAATACAAAAATTATCCAGGCCTATTGGTGGGTGCCTGTAATCCCAGTTACTCGTGAGACTGAGCAGGTGAATCACTTGACCCTGGGAGAGAGAGTGAGACTCTGTCTCAAAAAAAAAAAAAAAATTCATATTGGGATGCAAGGCTGGTTCAACATACACAAGTCTATAAACATAATTCACCACATAAACAGAACCAACACAAAAACCACAGGATTATCTCCATAGATGCAGAGAAGGCAAAACTCTCAATTAACTAGGTATTGATGGAACGTATCTCAAAATAATAAGCGCTATTTATGACAAACCCAGAGCCAGTATCATAATGAATGGGGAAAAACTGGAAGCATTCCCTTCGAAATCCGGCACTAGACAAGGATGCCCTCTCTCACCACTCCTATTCAATATAGTACTGGAAGTTCTAGCCAGAGCAATCAGGCAACAAAAAGAAATAAAGGGTATTCAAATAGGAAAGGAGGAAGCCAAATTGTCTCTATTTGCAGACGACATGATTGTATATTTAGAAGACCCCATCGTCTCAACCCAAAATCTCCTGAAACTGATAAGCAACTTCAGCAAAGTCTCAGGATACAAAATAAATGTGCAAAAGTCACAAGCATTCCTATACACCAATAACAGACTTAAAGAGAGCCAAATCAAGAATGAACTGCCATTCACAATTGCTACAAAGAGAATAAAATACCTAGGAATACAACTAACAAAGAACGCAAAGGACCTCTTCAAGGAGAACTACAAACCACTGCTCAATGAAATAAGAGAGGACACAAACAGATGAAGAAACATTCCATGGTCATGGTTAGGAATAATCAATATCATGAAAATGGCCATACTGCCAAAAGTAATCTACAGATTCAACACTATCCCCATCAAGCTACCAATGGCTTTCTTCACAGAACTGGAAAAAACTACCTTAAACTTCATATGGAACCAAAAGAGAGCTTACATAGCCAAGTCAAGTCTAGGCAAAAAGAACAAAGCCAGAGGCATCACACTACCTGACTTTAAACTATGCTACAAGGCTACAGTAATCAAAACAGCATGGTACTGGTACGAAAATAGAGATATAGACCAATGGAACAGAACAGAGGCCTCAGAGGCAAGGCCACACATCTACAACCATCTGATCTTTGACAAACCTCACAAAAATAAGCAATGGGAAAAGGATTCCTTTTTTAATGAATGGTGTTAAGAAAACTGGTTAGTCCTGTGTGGAAAGCAGAAACTAGACCCCTTCCTGACACCTTACCCTGAAATTAACTCCACATGGATTAAAGACTTACACATAAGACCTAACACCATAAAAATCCTAGAAGAAAACCTAGGCAAAAACATTCAGGACATAGGCATAGGCAAGGACTTCATGACTAAAACACCAAAAGCATTGGCAACAAAAGCCAAAACAGACAAATGGAACTTAATCGAACTCCACAGCTTCTGCACAGCAAAAGAAACAATCATTAGAGTGAACTGGCAACTGACAGAATGGGAAAAAATTTTTGTAATCTACCCATCTGACAAAGGGCTAATAACCAGAATCTACAAAGAACTAAAACAGATTTACAAGAAAAAAACAAACAAGCCCATTCAAAAGTGAGTGAAGGGGCCGGGCCCGGTGGCTCACACCTGTAATCCCAGCACTTTGGGAGGCTGAGGCGGGTGGATCACGAGGTCAACAGATCGAGACCATCCTGGTCAACATGGTGAAACCCCGTCTCTACTAAAAATACAAAAAACTAGCTGGGCATGGTGGCCTGTGCCTGTAATCCCAGCTACTCAGGAGGCTGAGGCAGGAGAATTGCCTGAACCCAGGAGGCGAAGGTTGTGGTGAGCCAAGATTGCACCATTGCACTCCAGCCTGGGTAACAAGAGCAAAACTCCGTCTCAAAAAAAAAAAAAAAGTGAGCGAAGGATATGAACAGACACTTTACAAAAGAAGATATGCATGAGACCAACAAACATATGAAAAATCTTCATCATCACTGGTCAGAGAAATGCAAATCAAAACTACATTGAGATACCATCTCACGCCAGTTGGAATGGCGATCATTAACAAACCTGGAGACGACAGATGCTGGAGAAAATGTGGAGAAATAGGAACACTTTTACACTGCTGGTGCGAGTGTAAATTAGTTCAACCATTGTGGAAGAGTGTGGTGATTCCTCAAGGACCTAGAAATAGAAATTCCATTTGACCCAGCAATCCCATTACTCGGTATATATCCAAAGGATTATAAATCATTCTCCTATATGGCCACATGCACACGAATGTTAATTTTGGCACTGTTTACAATAACAAAGTCTTAGAACCCACCCAAATGCCCATCGATGGTAGACTGGACAGGGAAAATGTGGCACATATACACCATGGAATACTATGCAGCCATAAAAAAAGATGAGTTTGTGTCCTTTGTAGGGACATGGATGAACCTGGAAACCATCATTCTTACCAAACTGACACAAGAACAGGAAATCAACCACCGAATGTTCTCACTCATAGGTGGGTGTTGAACAATGAGAACACATGGGCACAGGGAGGGAAGCATGATACCCTGGGGTCTGTGGGGGGGAACTAGAGGAGGGACAGCATGGGGTGGGAAGTTGGGGAGGGATAACATAGGGAGAAATGCCAGATATAGGTGATGGGGAGGAAGGCAGCAAACAACATTGCCACGTATGTACCTATGCAACAATATTGAATGTTCTTCACATGTACCCCAAAACCTAAAATGCAATTATATATATATGTATGTATGTATATATATAAATGTATATTGAAAGTTCCCTTTCCACCTCTTTCTCCCAAACAGAAACAAAAAATAAAAAAGAAAGAAAAGAAAAAAGAAATATTGGGGTTATTAATCAGTTGGTAAGGAGTAACGGTCTTGTTCACAAACTTTGGATCCTTTTTTTGCAGAATAGAAATCACTCCAGTTAGTAAAATAATAACAGTAATGACAACAGCCAAAAGGGAAGAGTATTGAAAATGCAGGAGGTGCTGGTCTAGGCACGTTCGTGGTTAACATTATTTAGCCTTGAGCATCATCCTAGGAGAGCATTCTCATATGATTCCTATCTCACAGGTGGAAAAACTGAGACACAGAGACCTACGTCGTCTGTCCAGACTCAAAGTGGTATTAAGTTTTGGCGCAGGTGTCACCTGACATTGTCTTGTGCACTATGCCTATCTAATTATTATTATTATTTTTGAGACGGCGTTTCCTTCTTGTTGTCCATGCTGGAGTGCAATCTCGGCTCACTGCAACCTCCGCTTCCCAGGTTGAAGCAGTTCCCCTGCCTCAGCCTCCCAAGTAGCTGGGATTACAGGCACGTGCCACCATGCTTGGCCAATTTTGTATTTTTAGTAGAGATGGGGTTTCTGCATGTGGGTCAGGCTGGTCTTGAACTCCTGACCTCAGGTGATCCATTCACCTTGGCCTCCCAAAGTGCTGAGATTACAGGCATGAGCCACCACACGGGGTTTTGTTTTGTTTTGTTTTGTTTGAGATGGAGTCTTGCTCTGTCTTCCAGGTTGGAGTACAGTGGGATGATCTCGGCTCACTACAACCTCCACCTCCCGGGTTCAAGCAATTCTCCTGCCTCAGCTTCCTGAGTAGCTGAGATTGTAGGCACGTGCCACCATGCTGGGCTAATTTTTGTAGTTTTAGTGGAGTCAGGGTTTCACCATGTTGGCCAGGCTGGTCTTGAACTTCTGACCTCAGGTGATCCACCCACCTCAGCCTCCAAAAGTGCTAGGATCACAGGCATGAGCCACCTCACCTGGCCACTATGCCTATCTCATTGTATTTCTAAAATAAGTGGGAAAAGAAATAATTGTATTTCCATCCTCACAGTAACTCCATGAAGGAGATAATAGCATTTACCCTTTACAAATGCGAAAACAAAAGTTCCAGCTTTTTTTTTTTCTGAGACAGTGTCTCACTTTGAAACCCAAGCTTGAGTGCAGTGGCATGATCTTGGCTCACTGCAGTCTTGACCTCCGGGACTCAAGTGATTCTCCCACTTTAGCCTCCCAAGTAGCTGGGACTACAGGGGGACACAGCCACGCCTGGAAAATGTTTTAAAATTTTTTATAGAGATGGGGTCTTGCTATGTTGCCCAGGCTACTCTCAAACTCCTGGGCTCAAGCAATCCTCCCACATCGACCTCCCAAAGTGCTGGGATTACAGATGTGGTCGCTCCAGCTTTTTTTTTTTCCCCAAGGCCACATTAAGTTGATAGTGGC